AAATGTTTACTTTGTGTTGTATCATTCTTGAAGATGAACACAATTAGCTTTGGAAAATCATATGTTTATGTATGTTGTTGCTTTGTTGTAAGAACATTTTTGAGACTGGAGTGGATTTGCTTTCTTCTTCTTCTGCAGTGAATCTTTAAACATAAAAACGCTGCGTTTTAAGCTCATAGAGAAATTAAATAAAACGGATAGATCCGTCTTATCCGGGAAAGTGTGAGTGAATAAAATGGAGAACGTCTCTGTAACTTTCCGCCATTGTTACAGCTCCTTGTTTCTTCATCAGTCACAGCGAAGATATCATTATTCTTCGGCTTGTTTGTCTCTGGGCATCAAGCATGCGTCGTTTGAATCTGTTCCAGTCTCGGTTTCTCTGGCACCGTCATCTTCAAGCTGGGAACTTTCGTCCCACGGGGGTGTTCATCCGTTGAAGGAGCTATATGGATGCGATAATTTGGTTTCTGTTAAAGCTACTCATGCTCGGATGATAAAGCTGTTCGATCGATTCGACTTGGAGTTCATTGGCAGGTGCTTGATCTCTCGTTACCTTGAATTCGGAGAATTTGGGTATGCTAGTGCTGTTTTCTTCCTGGGATTTCCTCGGAATCAAGTTTCATGGAGAGAATTCTTAGAAGAGGTCGAGAGTTTCGGATTAGAGAAGGGTATGGTCTTAGAGCATTTTGTTCAGCTACAGAACAGAGGAGTAAATTTCGATGGAATCGTTCTCGCAATGGTTTTGAGAATCTGTACTGTTCTGAATCTTCTGATGACTCCGTTGCTGGGTTTCACTATCCATGGCGGTTTGATAAAGAGAGGGCTTGATGATTCTGACACTCGTTTGGTTTCTGCATTGATGAGTTTCTATGGAAGATGTGTGAGTTCGGATATCGCGAACAAGATATTCGATGAAATGCCTAAAAGAGATGATCTCGCGTGGAACGAGATCACGATGGTGAATTTGCGGAGTGGGAAATGGGAAAAGGCTGTGAAACTGTTCAGAGAGATGCAGTTTTCTGCTGCAAAAGCTTATGATGGAACAATGGTTAAGCTTTTACAAGTTTGTAGCAACAAAGAAGGTTTAGCAGAAGGGAGAAAGATTCATGGGTACGTTCTGAGACTTGGGTTTGAATCAAACGTGTCAATGTGTAATTCCTTGATTATCATGTACTCAAGGAATGGTAAGCTTGAAACCTCCAGGAAAGTTTTCGATTCGATGAAAGAACGAGACATGTCTTCGTGGAACTCGATTATATCGAGTTATACTGCATTTGGTTGTGTAGAAGATGCTATGGCTCTCGTCGAGAAGATGGAGAGATGTGGTGTGAAACCAGATATAGTGACATGGAACTCTCTTTTGTCAGGCCACGCTTTTAAGGGGTTGTACAAAGGTACCATTGAGATATTGAAGAGAATGCAAATTGCTGGTTTGAAGCCAAATGCGAGCTCCATAAGTAGTCTTCTTCAAGCTGCTGCTGAACCAGGACTTCTTAAAGTTGGAAAAGCAATCCACGGATATGTCATAAGAAATCAGCTTTGGTACGATGTGTTCGTAGAAACCACATTGATCGACATGTATGTTAAAACTGGCTGCTTGCCTTACGCTGGGATGGTTTTTGATATGATGAATGAGAAGAAGAACATTGTTGCTTGGAATTCACTCATCTCTGGACTTTCGTACGCGGGTTTGCTAAAGGATGCTGAAGCTTTGATGAGTAGAATGGAGAAAGAAGGGATCAAACCTGATGCTGTTACATGGAACAGTATGGTTTCTGGATATGCTACTTGGGGGAAAACAGAGAAAGCTTTGGCTGTGGTTGAGAAGATGAAAAGGAACGGGGTGGAGCCTAATGTGGTCTCATGGACTGCTATCTTGTCGGGATGTTCGAAAACTGGAAACTTTAGGAATGCTCTCAAAGTCTTTATTCAAATGCAGGAAGAAGATGTCTCTCCAAACTCAGCTACAATTTCAAGCTTGCTTAGCATATTAGGTTGCTTGAGTCTACTACACAGTGGCAAAGAGGCTCACAGCTTCTGTTTGAGGAACAATTTAATCCGTGACGCTTATGTTGCAACTGCATTAGTAGACATGTACACAAAATCAGGGGATCTGAGAAGCGCGTCTGAGGTTTTCCGGGGAATTGAGAACAAAACGGTAGCTTCTTGGAACTGTATGATCATGGGTTACGCCATGTTCGGGCAAGGAGAAGAAGGGATTGCGGTTTTCGATAGGATGCTTGAAGCAGGCGTGGAGCCGGATGCTATAACGTTTACCTCCGTCTTGTCTGTTTGCAAGAGCTCAGGTCTCGTCAGTGAAGGGTGGAGATACTTTGATCTTATGAGGTCTCGTTATGGTGTAACTCCGAGTATCGAACACTGCTCTTGCATGGTGGATTTGCTCGGGAGGTCAGGTTATCTTGATGAAGCGTTAGACTTCATTCAAACGATGCCGTTTAAACCCGACGCAACTACTTGGGGTGCGTTTCTTTCATCTTGTAAGATCCACAGAGACATAGAGCTCGCGGAAGTCGCTTGGAAGAAGCTTCAAGTGCTGGAACCAAACAATTCAGCTAACTACATGACGATGATCAACTTGTACAGTAACTTGAACAGATGGGAAGATGTTGAACGCGTAAAGGACTTGATGAAGGATCAAATGGTGAGAGTCCAGGATCTCTGGAGTTGGATTCAGATAGATCACAAGGTTCACGTCTTCTACGCAGAAGGAAAAGCACATCCTGATGAAGGAGAGATCTACTTTGAGCTGTACAAGTTAGTCTCTGAGATGAAGAAATCAGGTTATGTGCCAGAGACGAGATGTATACACAGAAACGTAAGTGAGACAGAGAAAGAGAAGCTGCTTATGGGACATACAGAGAAGTTAGCAATAACATATGGTCTCATCAAGAAGAAAGGCTTAGCTCCTATAAGAGTGGTCAAGAACACAAGTATATGTTCCGATTGTCACACCGTGGCTAAACACATATCGGCTTTGAGAAACCGCGAGATTGTTTTACACGAAGGGTTTCGAATTCATCATTTTAAAGACGGAAAATGTTCCTGCAATGACTCTTGGTGATATAATATAAGATACAAACTAGCTCTGTTTTTTCATATCTTACAATGGTTCTTAAATACAGACACCAGAAAGCAAATTACAACAAAACTTTCACAGCAGGCTCGAAAATGGCTGATCTGAGCAAAGAAGCAGAGAGACAACAACAAAGTGCTTCTACATACATATATATGACAAGACTAAATAATTTCTACACTGGATCTTGCCTTCATATCTTCAATGGTTGCTTCATCATTATGCCTCTTCTCTCTGTATCCGTTGGAAGTTTTTTTCAGAAAGTGGCGATGGAATTGGTCAAGTCCTGAGCAGCCAATCTTTCAGAGACACAAGCCAAGGATTTGAGGTTACATTTGATGAGTGACTCCACGAAATAGCATGTGTCGTCTTTGGTGTTGCCTTCAGGAACATCCACAACGAAAGATTCAATCACCATAGTTCCTGACCTCCCATCGATCATCTCAGGATGTAGAGTCAGAATCGAAGAGTAATTCTGCAGCATAACAATCATTCATATAATCATATATAAACACTTTTTTCTTTTTTTCTGAATCTGTAAAAAACTAAAAACTAAAGATTTATTAACTTACCCTGAGTCTGTGATCACCACCAATGATGTTGATGCCGAGTATGTGTTCTTCATCATCAAGCTGCTCGAGCCTCTCTGTACTAGTGGTCGCCGGAAGACCAGACTTGACGTTGACTTCTCTGAGACTGCCGATCTCAGGATCACCATCAACAGTACATCTGCTTACAAATGGTTTGTATTTCTGCGGCTGATCGAATCTTCTCACAAGTGACCAAACCTGAATCATGTATCATCGTTAGCAAGAGAACCCTAAATCCGTTGAAATCGGCAAACAGAAACAGCCAAAATCCGATAAAACTTCAAATCAACGGCGAATCGGATTAGAATTTAACAAAATGACGAGTCTGGAATACGAATCTGAGAGGATTGAAGCGCTTACGAGATGAACAGGGGCTTTGATGTATTTGACGAGAACAGAGGTACACTGTTTCTCACTGCAACGGTGTCGATGATGCATCCGTAGGTATTTCGCCGTCACGAGGGCTCCGTACATCTCCGTATCGTCGACGATGATCTCCTCCATCTCCTCTTCCGATCAGAATCTCTCTTCTTATCTTCACTCTTCTGAGGAATCCTAAATGGGAGGAGGAAAGTGGATAAAATAGAAGAAAGGGGGAATAAAGAAAATGGAATAAATTAGCTTTTATGGGGTTTGATATTTTTTTATTTGTTTTGGTTGGTTAGGCTCAGAAATCAACCAATATCCACCGACATATAAATACCAAAAAGGATTTCCAATGAACCGACAAATCTTTCATATAACTTACGTGTCGCTGTCTGATTGGGGGAGTCGTCTCACTTATTTTGATTTAGCTCTTGACTTTTGGGTAAGTGTAAATCCATCTTATCCAGCCAAGTAAGCTTTCCAAATTAACCTGTGCAAATCAGAAACCAATTTTGGGAACTCCTGCACATTTATTTCTTATCTGGACCAAATAAGGTAATGATATGCATTTAATCTTCAAATCTATCTATCATAATCCTTATCATATCCTATATCCAAAATGGTGAAATGTTATCTTCTCAGGAATCTTGACAGAATCTTGTAAGAATCTTTATAACAAAGGGTTATAGCTGATGTCAGCATGACGTCATAATAAAAACTCTTGATGCAAATTAATATTTGACATAACCGGAAAGTAAACCGGAGTTCTTTTCGATCTCAGTGAAACAATTCAATGTAACCGCAAATTAACGAGCCAATAATGTTGAAAACTCTGATCAAACAATTGGACTGCAAAAATCAGTCATTTCATACAGTAAAAAAAACTTTAACCTACCAAGATTAAAAAGTCTGGTTTAGTCGTGTGGTTAAAACCAAACCGGCTCTACCGATTACAAATCCCACTTTACGTTCCTGATCACAACCAACGCCTTGGCCATATCTGCCCTAGCCTTCTCCGTTATGGCATTCGCTTCTTGTACCATCTCCGCCGCCTTCTCCGCCATGTCCCTCGCGCTCGCAGCTACGACCTCCACATTTTCCACCATTCTTATAAGCGAATCCCACGATGCATTTGCCACCAAATCTGCCCCGTTGGCCTCCACTATCCCCACCATTGTCTCAACCTCTTCCACTATCTCCGCCGACTCAGCCCCCATGGCCTCCGCGTTCTTCACTAACATAGCTGCCTTCTCCACCATCGTCGACACTTCCTTCACCATAGCTACATGTTGAACCGGACCGGTTAAGTCCTTTAATAAACATTGACAAAAACAGAGACATTTGAGTTTTGACAAACCTTTGGCTTTCTCTTGTACGTTAGCTATGTTTTTCTTGATCTCCACGGCTGTATTGAAAACCCCTAGAGTTGGCTTGTAACACACGAAACAGTTCAAGTTCTTCTCGTGGTGCTGTATCATGAAACAAAAACAACGAAATTCTGTTTCAGTATGTAATGTTCATGAAAACTCTAAAACTGTTGTTTTAAAGGGAAAATCATACCTTTAGAGCGCAATGCTTGCAGAAGTAGTGATTGCATTTTGTCACAATTGGATCCAAGAATGGTTGTTTGCAAATAGAACAAGCTAGAGGCAATGCATCATCATCCTCTGTTTTCTCAAAGTCAAGCTTTCTCGCTGTTGTTTTTGCGATCTTTTCTGATCTGGAGCTTTCGTTTTTGGAATCATCATCAAGGGCTCTTTTGTCTGAGTTTGTACTCATTTTCACTTTGTCGAGACTTGGATTCTTGCTCAGCAGCTGTAGATTCTGAAATTCTTGCACAGATCAGACTAACGAATCCACCTTCTTGAAATTTTCCCCTCTGTGTTTCTTAAAAAAACACCAAACATTACGCATCAAGATTAGTTATCTGAATTAAACCCATCAACAGATTCTAATTTCGATCAGATTTATGAAAAAAATCACAACGCTAGCGATCTGATTACCGAATTGATGAAGCTAAGGAATGCAGGAATCAATCTTTATTGAAAATGGCGGCAAAATCCCCAGCTTCGAACGAACAACGAGAAGTATACGTGGGATTAAGGAAAGAAAGAGATAACTCACCTCGCAATAACAATAATACAATGATTCTTCGGTGAACCACGCCGGATTAAGAACCCCGGCGGCGAAGAAGTCTTCCGATTGTTAGAGCGATGGTGAGCGAGCAGAGACGAACGAAGAAGAAGAAGATAGTTCGTTACTAGAGTTAGTTAAGCCGGTGAGTTCAAATTGAATTTCTATCTGAACTTAATGGGCCTTGAATTAAAGGTAAGCCCATTATATGTTTTCGGGTCACTTAGTTTGACCCAGTTTTTTTTTTTGTTTGTTTGCCGTATATTTCCATTTCCCTCTCTTTTGTCCTGTAATATCCAATTTCGAAGAAACTGCAAAATGGGTCTCTATTTACCAGCGCCACGCCAAACTTGACGAAGACGACTTTTTTGACTGCGCCAAAAAAATAATTTTCAGAGGATTAATTTCCAGAAATTTCAGTTCAGTTCATCGGAAAAGTCTTAAACTCCAATTTTCTTAACTGCTTCTCTGTAATCAATCACTAATCAGTTCCTTCGAGGTTTTGGTAAGTTTCGGAGATCAGCGATTTTAAATGTTTCATTTCTAGTTTCCGTTTCTTCTTCTTCATTCGTTTTTTTTTTTTTTTTTATTGTTTACCTGTAACTGTTTTCTTCAGTATCCAGACTAAGTAGAGAAATCGCTGTATTTTGATTTTAGGGACTTTAATTTATTTATGAAATCTGTTCTTACGATACAGGATCCATTGAAGAATACCAAAGCCTGAGTTATGGCTTTTGGCCGCGACAATCGTGTAAGGTTGTTTCATATTTTAAAAATTAATTCACTGAGAGACTAAAATATTGGTCTAACTTTTGTACACTGTGTTAGATGATTCTCATAAAAAAATGTTGTTTGCTGATGATTTCGGTTTAGGTTCAAAGATTGGATTTCAGATGAATCAGAGTACGGTTACGGAATAAAATCAAGACCATCTCTAAACACAGTTTTGAAGAACGTTCGTAGAGGATTTGAGAAAGGTTCAGATAAAATCAAAACCTTCAAGAAACCATTAGGTTTCGTCTCACACAAGAAACCTTCTAACACACAGAATAAGAACATCATAAACCCACAAGGCATCTTTCTACAAAACTGGAACAAAATCTTCCTCTTTGCTTCAGTGGTTGCTCTTGCGATTGATCCATTGTTTTTCTACATCCCCATTGTTGATGGAGCAAAGCACTGCCTTAATCTGCACACCAATTTGGAGATTGCAGCTAGCTTGCTTAGAACATTTATAGATGCTTTCTACGTCATTCACATTGTGTTTCAGTTTAGAACAGCTTACATCTCTCCTTCTTCAAGGGTTTTCGGAAGAGGAGAGTTGGTAGAAGATCCTAAAGCCATAGCGTTGAAGTACCTCTCCTCTTACTTCATCATTGATGTTCTTTCAATCCTTCCTCTCCCACAGGTATATAAACTAACTTCTTGATATCAGTGAATCTTCCAGTGGTTTCTTGATGGTTCTTGTTTCTTTCTGCAGCTTGTAGTCTTAGCTGTGATCCCAAATGTGAACAAGCCGGTCTCTTTGCTCACTAAGGACTACTTGATTACTGTCATATTCGCTCAATACATTCCTAGGCTTCTTCGTATCTATCCGCTTTACAGTGAAGTGACGAGAACATCAGGCATTGTTACTGAAACAGCTTGGGCTGGTGCTGCTTGGAACCTCTCTCTCTACATGTTAGCCAGTCATGTGAGTCTCAAAATCATCTTTATTATTGATTTGATCAACTTTATCTGATGAATAATTAATTACTTATTCTCTAGGTCTTTGGAGCTTTATGGTACTTAATATCAGTAGAGAGAGAGGACAGATGCTGGCGTGAAGCTTGCGAGAAGAGACGAGAGGGTTGTGATTTTAGATTTCTCTACTGCGATGAAAACAGTAACGTTATAAATGATTTCCTCACTACCTCGTGCCCGTTTATCGACCCTGATGATATAACAAATTCGACTGTCTTCAACTTTGGCATCTTTACTGATGCTTTAAAGAGTGGGATTGTTGAATCTGATGATTTCTGGAAGAAATTCTTCTACTGCTTCTGGTGGGGTCTTCGTAATCTAAGGTTTGTAACACAATTTCATTTCTATGTCAAGCCCTTTATAGCGTTTTAGTGTAAATGTAGGAGTCATGTGACACATTTGATGGTAGATAAGAGATGTTGCATCTTTAGACTAATATGTTCACTTGCTTTTTTTTACATTGCAGTGCATTGGGACAAAACCTCAATACGAGCAAATTCGTTGGAGAAATCATTTTTGCTGTATCAATTTGCATATCTGGACTAGTTTTATTTGCACTACTTATTGGCAATATGCAGGTAAAATCCTTTCACTGCCCTAGTTTCATCACAAAACTTGAGCCACAAGGAAGATAAGACACTGATTGGTGTTTCCATTTTCCAATTGTAGAAATACTTGGAATCGACGACAGTTAGGGAAGAGGAGATGAGAGTGAGAAAAAGAGACGCAGAGCAATGGATGGCTCATCGGATGTTACCAGAGGACTTGAGGAAACGTATCAGAAGATACGAACAATACAAATGGCAAGAAACCAGAGGAGTTGAAGAAGAAAACCTTCTTCGTAATCTCCCTAAAGACCTCAGGAGAGACATTAAACGCCATTTTTGCCTCGACCTCCTTAAGAAAGTAAGTGCACACATCATCGTCTCTGTTCGATCCAACATTGAGAACTATATAATATACGAATAATATATGATCGAAATCGAATGTAGGTACCTATGTTTGAGATAATGGATGAGCAATTGCTAGATGCCGTGTGTGACAAGCTAAAGCCAGTGCTCTACACCGAGAACAGCTACGCGATTAGAGAAGGAGATCCAGTGGAAGAGATGTTGTTTGTTATGAGAGGAAAGCTGATGAGCGCAACCACAAACGGTGGCCGGACCGGTTTCTTTAACGCCGTGTACCTCAAACCCAGCGACTTTTGCGGCGAGGATCTTCTCACTTGGGCGCTGGATCCTCAGTCTTCGTCTCATTTTCCGATCTCGACGAGAACGGTTCAGGCTTTAACAGAAGTCGAAGCCTTTGCTCTTGCGGCAGATGATCTCAAGCTCGTCGCTTCGCAATTCAGACGACTCCATAGCAAACAGCTTCAACATACTTTCAGGTTTTGTCTCTTTTTAGCTCACTCTTGACTCTGATCACCGGTTCTGTTTGGTTTAATTCGGTTTGGATATTTTCAGGTTTTATTCGGTACAGTGGAGAAGTTGGGGAGCATCTTTTATACAAGCTGCGTGGCGGAGACATTGCCGGAGAAAGCTGGCTAGGTCGTTAACCGACGAAGAAGATCCGTTCCGAGACGCGATCGCAAAACGCAAACGCGACGCCGCGTCTTCGTCGACGTCTTCGAGCATGGTTGCTACTTTATACGCGTCGCGGTTCGCTTCAAACGCGCTTCGCAATCTGCGTCAGAACAACCACCTTCCGTTGCTTCCTCCTAAACCCTCCGAGCCTGATTTCACTGCAAATGATCATATTCCGTAAAATTTGTCTGCGACTGCGTTTACCACTTGTAAAATTTGTCAACTAATTTTTTGTTTTTTAAATATTCAGATAAAAAATAAAAATTGAAAAATAAATATAATGTCAATAGCCGATTAAGAAACCGCCAATATGAAAAGCCCTTTTACTGATAAGTCCAAAAGGAAGTATTCGTAGCCCAACAAGGATAGAGATCGATTTCAATTTCCCTTCTTTATTAGGGCTTCGCTATTTCAATTTCCCCCTTTCTCTTTGATTTCTCTCCGGAAATCGATCTTCTTCTTCTTCCAAGCTTCGATAATTGTTATCCATGGCGGATCAGATTCCGAGTTCTAGGCCGCTGCAGTTTTTCGTTAGGCTACTCGACGGAAAATCGATAACTCTAGCTTTCTCCTCTCCGTCAGCGTATGGCGAGCAGATCAAGCAGCGGATCTTCGAACAGACGAAGATCCCGACGCATCTACAGCGTTTGATATGCGGAGGATATCAGATCTCCGATGGATCCGCAGTTTCTCAGCCCGACGCCACCGTAAATCTCGTCCTCTCTCTCCGTGGAGGTAAAGGAGGGTTCGGGTCGCTACTTCGTGGTGCGGCGACGAAAGCTGGGCAGAAGAAGACCAACAACTTCGATGCGTGTAGGGATATGAGCGGAAGGAGGTTGAGGCATGTAAACGCGGAGAAGAGGCTCGAGGAGTGGAAGGAAGGGGAAGAAGAGAGGAAGCTGGAGAAAGTGGCGCAGGAGTTTCTGAAGAAGCAGGCGAATAAAGTTAAACAAGGTGTTGGCAATGGAGCTACCCAGAAGTACGTTAAAAAGTATCAGGAAGAATCTGATAAGTGCATCGAGGCGGTGGATTTGGCCTTGAAAGAATCATTCCAGAATGGGAAGAGAAAGGGGAAGATGGTTGCAGAATCTGAAAAGTCGAAGCGACTCAAAATATGGTATGAACAAATCTCTTTTTATCCTTCCATGGTTTAGGCACCTCATCGATCTATATGCGTGGATTGAAAATTGGAAGCTCATGATTTCGTGATATTATCTGTTTATTAAGCTTCTCTAGTTGATTGATTGCAAAATTTGTTCTTGTGCTGAATTTATATGATTTTTGATTTTTGATTAAGTAGTCTCGTATAGATTTTGATATGGATGATGTTTGTTTTGTTGCCTGTGTTCATCATATCTCTGTTGCTTGTTTTTGATTATGTATTTAAATGATTCAGGAAGGGAAAGAGAGCTGTTGGAGATAGTGACAGTGATGATAGCAGCGACGAGGAAGATGAGAAATCTGTTGTTCTAAACAGTAGTAGTAGCCGAGTTGTTTCGGATAAGGATACTGATGAAAGCTCAGGCTCTGCTATGGATGGAGCCCATTATGGTGATAGTTCTGGTAAAGCTTCCTGCAATAGCGGTTCAGAGGAAGAGAAAGACAGTGTAGTGCACCGAAGTTCAGATGTTCAAGTAATGAACGGAGAGAAGATGGATGATTCGCCTGTCGCTGCTGTTGATGCAGTGGGTCAAACTGAGAAGAAGGAGAATTCAAGTGGAGGAGACGCAGAAAATAATCTAGCCGAGGCAGCTTGTGAAGCGTTAACTACGTCTGTTGATAAGCAAGAGAATGATTCTGAAGTAAAGCCAGGAGGAGCTACAAGAGAAACAGTGTCCGTTGTTGATCCACTAAACTTTGAGGACTTCAATTCAGCAAGAGAGATGGAGGTATGTATGGTTATTTCGAAAATTTTCAAATCAAAATTGATGAAAATCGATAGTGTCAGAAACGAAAAGCCTTTATTGTGTGTGTTTTGGTTTCAGGTGATGGGGATGGAGAGATTGAAGAGTGAGCTTCAGTCACGTGGACTGAAATGTGGAGGGACATTGCAAGAGCGAGCTGCAAGGCTGTTCCTACTCAAAGCAACACCACTCGATAAGCTCCCAAAGAAATTGCTGGCCAAGAGATGATTTTCTAACTAGTAACTTGCCTTTTCAAGAGTTTCTCTGCTTGTTGTATTGTATTATGTATAACACAAGACCCACCACCACATGTGTAATATGAATATTATATCAGCTCTAAGCCTGCTTCAACTACTCCACTAATCCCACCAAGATTACCACTTTCAGTAATCAATCACTCTCAGCTTAATCGCATCTTATGAATGGATTTTCCAGAATTTTCTGGAAGATCAAAAGCTCTCGTTTTCAGAGCAAAGATGTGGTCGTTATTATTGTGTGTGAATTTGGCAAGATGTTATCTGAATTTGTGTATTTAAAGCACACGCAAACGCAACTCAAATCCTTTTCGTGGATCTTTTTTATAAAGAGCTTATCTACGGAATTAGATAATTGGCGTACGAAAAAAGAAAGAATATTATATTCGGAGCCTATTTCCTTTTTTTATTTTAAACGAAAAGGTTTTTATAAAATTTAATTTAATAATCAGCGTTGAAGAAGAAGAGAGTAGTAGTATAGAGTGAGAGCGCAGAGACGCAAAGCTTTCCACACTCAGATCCACTTTCACTTTCACTTGGAACGAAGACGATCAATATTCTTAATGGCGGGCATTTCTGTGGACGACTTCCTGAATCTGTGCAAAGAATCCGGCGACGTAGCTTATGGCGCCTTGCGATCCTTGTTGGAGCGCCTCGAGGATCCGATCACTCGATCGGAGGCTCGGATCTTCTTATCCGACGTCTACAAGCGCGTCGGATCCTCCGAGAGCTGTCTCGACACCTACCACTTCCATATCCAGGACATCTTCCTCGATCAATACCAAGGTACGATTTGATCTCACCGATGATCGGAATCGAGAATTGAATTACATGTTTACGAGCTGTGGATAATGGATTTTCTGTTGATTGATTGATTTTTCTGAGAGTAATCTCTCTGATCTTACCCGTTGACTTTATAATCCATTTCTTCCGAGAAATTGGGGGATGATTCCGGTGAATCTCGTCGGCTTGTTTCACTGCCTTGCCCAATGGATAAGCTACATATATCAGTTTAGCTTTTCAAGGCCATTTTTTTGTATATTGTTTTTTTTTTTTGTCGTTTTCTTTCGTTTACTTGTGACAAACTCAACTGCTCATTTCATTCCAAATTTAGTCACTCATGTGGTCCTTTTTGCTTTCTACGAACTTCTTGCAATATATCTCTCTAACATTCCATTGCATCATAAGATATATATTGCTTGTATCAGAGTATCAGACACCACCAATAATATATGTATCTTCCTCTCTCTTTTGTAATGCAGGCTTTGAAGTTAGGAAAAAGTTAACCATGATGGTGATTCCAAGTATTTTTGTTCCGGAAGACTGGTCATTCACATTTTATGAAGGACTCAACAGACATCCTGACACCATCTTCAAGGATAAGACCGTCTCTGAACTTGGCTGTGGCAACGGATGGATATCAATTGCCATTGCTGCTAAGTGGTTGCCTTCAAAGGTACCACTACTTACTCTGAAGCTTTCTATTTGGGTCTCACAAGAAGATTTTTTTAGTCTCTAGCATCGTCATCGTTTGATATGGTTATTGTTATTGTTATTGTTTTCGGTTTTAGATATTGCTCAGATTGCTTCACAGGTGTCACCAACCATATAACTTCACGAATACATGTTTTTTGCAGGTATATGGGCTTGATATTAATCCTAGAGCTGTGAAGATTTCTTGGATCAATCTCTACCTAAACGCTCTTGATGATAATGGCCAACCAGTCTATGACGATGAGAAGAAAACTCTACTGGACAGGGTTGAATTCTATGAATCTGATTTGCTTGGTTACTGTAAAGATAATAAAATTCAGCTCGAGAGAATTGTAGGATGCATACCTCAGGTAGGTTTTTTCCTTCTGGTCTCTATTGACTTATGTGTGTAGTACTTTTAAACTTCTAAAAAATCTGACGTTTCCTTTTGATCTTGTGTTCTTGTGGCAGATTCTTAATCCAAACCCAGAAGCAATGTCTAAAATGATAGAAGAAAATGCGAGTGAGGAATTTCTCCATTCGCTGAGTAACTACTGTGCCCTTCAGGTAAGAGGAAACATGCACAATGTTTCTCTTTCTTCATTGTCTATAACAGTTCATGCGCAATCTCACCTTTAACTTCTTGCTTGCGTTATTTGAGCCAGTCACATTCATGCTGACATATCACATTTTCAACATGTTTTGGATGAGTTTTAAGATATATTTTTTCTCTTCCTCTGTATAATCCATAGCACTCTCTCTTCTTCCGTCTTTAGCAATGACACATTTTCTTGCTTTTTTGAACTCTAGAAGGTGTAAATGATAGATCAGCTGCTGGAAACTTTGTTAACGTGGATGCTTTTCCTGTGCTTGGTGAATTTTATCCATTTTCAGGGTTTTGTTGAGGATCAGTTTGGCTTAGGTTTGATTGCCAGAGCAGTTGAAGAAGGAATATCTGTCATCAAACCTGCAGGGATTATGATATTCAACATGGGTGGTCGTCCTGGGCAAGGTGTCTGTAGACGCTTGTTTGAGCGGCGAGGAGTCCGTGTTACGCAGATGTGGCAGACTAAAATTCTTCAGGTAAGAGTTTTATTTCTGAAAGGTCTTACTCCTCCACAATGGCTTCTTGACATGTGTGTGTTCACAGGCTGCAGATACCGATATCTCGGCATTAGTTGAAATTGAGAGGAGCAGCCCTCATCGTTTTGAGTTTTTTATGGGACTGTCTGGAGACCAACCAATTTGTGCTCGAACAGCATGGGCTTATGGGAAGGCTGGTGGACGAATCTCTCATGCGTTATCGGTTTATAGTTGTCAGATTCGTCAACCAAATCTGGTGGGTAGATATAAATATTTCTTTAGTAAATAGATTATCTTACCATGAACAACAAAAGAATCAATTTAGTGGTTGTGATTGACAGGTCAAGATAATCTTCGACTTCTTGAAAAATGGATTCCAAGAAATCAGCAGTTCACTGGATTTATCATTTGAAGATGAAGCTGTTGCTGATGAGAAAATTCCGTTCCTAGCCTATCTTGCTAGTGTTTTGAAAAATAGCTCCTATTTCCCCTTTGAACCACCAGCTGGCAGCAAAAGATTCTGCAGTCTAATTGCAGGCTTTATGAGGACATACCACCGTATTCCAATTAATCAGGATGTAAGGCTATTCGCTATTTATGTTTTTGACAGTGTTCTTACAGTTCCAGGCAATTAATCATTTCTGAGTCTGCTTCTTTTTGTTTGCAAGAACATTGTCGTGTTTCCATCAAGGGCTGTGGCAATCGAGAGTGCATTTCGGTTATTCTCCCCTCGACTTGCAATTGTTGATGAGCATTTAACTCGACTACTTCCGAGGAGCTGGTTAACCTCTTTAGCCATTGAGGTAAAGTTGTATTGTGTCTTTCTCTGAGTAACTATGTTTGAAGATAAGTGTTTTTTCTACTGATGAGTGATTTCTGTTTGCGGTGAGCTTAACTGGAAACTTGTTAATCAATTTGTAGAACACGAGCACGGAGGAATCAGATCAAATCACAGTCATCGAGTCCCCTCACCAATCTGATCTGATGATAGAACTGATTAAGAAACTAAAGCCACAGGTGGTGGTTACTGGAATGGCTCAATTTGAGGTCATTACCAGTTCATCGTTTTTGCACTTGTTGCAAGTGACGAAAGAAATTGGATGTCGACTTTTCTTGGATATATCTGATCACTTTGAGTTGTCTAGCCTCCCTGCATCCAATGGGGTACTGAAATATCTCGCTGAAAATCAACTACCTTCTCATGCAGCAATCATCTGTGGTCTGGTAAAGAACAAGGTATAGTTTTCCTCCAACCGCATCGCTGACGACCACGCATTTTGTTCTATCTCATCGCTGATAGTTTCTTTAAAGTTCTTAAAAAAAATCATGTGTTTTATATACCAAGTCATTGTTCTGCAGGTTTATTCAGATTTAGAAGTAGCCTTTGTCATTTCAGAAGTGGATGGTATCTCTAAGGCCTTGGCTAAAACTGTGGAAGTATTGGAAGGTCATACTGCTATTATCAGTCAATACTATTATGGTTGCCTTTTCCATGAGCTTCTGGCTTTCCAGCTTGCTGATCGCCATGCCCCAGCTGAGGTATGTTGTTTACTCTGTTTTAGCTCATATGCTAGATATTATTCTTTCTCAGGGTGAGATTAGTTATTTGAATTTGTCCAATGACTGACTTGCGTAGTAGTATTGTTTTGGGACAAAGTTAAACCAATGTGTCTATCGCAAGGTTTGGAACTTATTTACTCAGTTCTCTGTTATGTGGCTTGTAGAGGGAAAGTGAGAAGACAAAGTCTGAAGAGACCATTGGATTTTCAAGCTCAGCCGTCTCTGTTCTAAAAGATGCTGAGCTTTCAGTCACTGAAATTGATGACACTTCTGTAATCCACATGGATGTGGATCAAAGTTTCTTGCCAATGCCAACATCTGTGAAGGCTGCAATCTTCGAAAGTTTCGTGAGGCAGAACATATCTGAAGCGGAAGTCGATGTCAACCCAAGCATTACGCAGTTTGTGTTGAGTAACTATGGGTTTCCAACCAAAAGCAGCACAGGGTTTGTATACGCTGATGGCTCACAAGCACTATTCAACAAACTTGTCATTTGCTGCGCTCAAGAAGGTGGAACGCTCTGTTTACCCGCAGGCACAAACGGGAAATACGTCGCTGCTGCCAAGTTTTTAAAAGCTAACGTTGTGAATATCCCTACTGAGTCTGGCGACGGGTTTAAGCTGACGGAAACGACTCTAAAGAAAGCGCTCGGGTCAGTGAAGAAGCCGTGGGTTTGTATATCTGGACCAACGGTTAGCCCCACGGGTTTGGTGTACAGCAACGAGGAGATGGATGCGTTGTTGTCTACTTGTGCCGGATTCGGAGCAAAGGTGATCATCGATACTTCGTTCTCGGGGTTAGAGTACAGCTCAACGACGTGGGATTTGAGTAAGGCTTTGTCGAGATTGGATTCGTCCTTGTCGGTTTCTCTGCTTGGGTGTCTCTCGTTGAATATGCTAAGTGGAGCTCTGAAACTCGGGTTTCTAGTTTTGGATCAATCTCTTGTTGATGCTTTCAATACCCTCCCGGGACTGAGCAAGCCTCACAGCACTGTGAAATATGCAGCTAAGAAAATGTTGGCACTGAAAGAAGAGAAAAACAGCGACTTTTTGGATGCCGTTTCTGTCACCATCAAAACGCTGGAAGGCAGATCTAAACGCTTAAAAGAGGTACTTCTTTTTGCATTTGATTGTTTGTTTGAAACGCCGTTTTTAGCATTTGTAAATGTTCATCTCATAATGGCGTGATATGTGTAGGTACTGGAGAAGTCTGGTTGGGAGGTGATCGAACCATCAGCTGGAATCTCATTGGTGGCAAAGCCGAAAGCTTATCTGAAGAAAAGAGTAAAGGTGAAAGCAGGAGAGGCAGAGGAAGTGGAGCTAACGGATTCGAATATGAGGGACGTGTTTCTGAGTCATACCGGTGTTTGCTTGAACAGCGGTTCATGGACCGGAATTCCAGGTTACTGCCGGTTTACGTTTGCATTGGAGGATAGTGAGTTTGACAAGGCAGTTGAATCCATCGCTCAGTTTAAAAGCGTCCTTGCTTAATTGAACTAAAGGAAGGAGATTTGTTCTGTTGGCTCTTGTTCCTTGGTTCTCTTGTTTCTTTCTTTCTAATAATTTGCGTGCCCGTTTCTTGGCCAGCCACGTAACGGGTTTACACCTGTTCGAAAGCGTGATTTGTTTTCATGCTAATAAAGGATTCACAAACAGTCATTTTTAGTGTGAATAAGTCTCTTATGGTGTTCACAGATATTTGACCGTCTCTATGATTTAAGAATGCATCAAATTGGAAATCACTTTGGATTGTTGTAAAAGCTCCAAAGATTGCACAAACTACGTCTAAAGACCACAGAGCAAATGGATTGGCTAGAAGAGAACAAAATGATATATTTCTCATAAAAATTAATATGTTTAGATTAAAGAACAAAGAAAGGAAAACTGTTTAACCATCTGGCTTAAACCAATTTGGTAATTCCAAATTACACGTCTGGTTTCAAACTTCATACGATAGGTCAGTGAAATCTCTTAGCTGAAGCTAAAGTGTTGGAAAGAAGCATGGCTGTGGACATGTGTCTTGAAAATCCAGTTTCTGCACTTGAAAATCAAATCCAAATTACATTTATTGTGAAATATCTATCCAGTTTTGGGGTCTGTTACATGTGTCTATAATAAACTTCTATCACACGGTTTTACAAGAAGAACCTTACTTTTGACGTAATACATAAGTAAATGCCAAGCTATCGTTTACAAATACAATAATGTTACAGTAGACAAACCAAACCGAGCTTCGATGGTTGTCTAATTTGGAGAACAAACCTTGTCACTGTGTCATGGACTTTCGCATTATCTCTTTTGCCTCTCTTATGGCTGCGCTCGCAGCATGCAGCACTATTTTCTTAAGCTGCAATTATGCAGTGACAAGTTTAAGCAAACAGAGAGAGGTTAACATAAGGTGACATTCAAAATGAATGGTTCATATATGGTTCTAATATTCAAACCAAGTATTGTACCTCTAGTTTGTCTTCGCTGGATCTGTGGTCTTTTGGTAATCTCCGAAACTCTTGTGTGAGCCTAAGGCACTCTTCTACGCTTTCAGGAGCCACAAAATCTAATGCCACCTTTATACAAGACTGGAAACAGATTGGACATTTTCATCATCATTAACATTTCACTTTTTGCTTTCTTTTGTTTGCGGAAAGAAGAAACAGTAAATGAACAAAACGTTAAAAATTCCTGATTCATTATATAAATGCGATGTTGCTTTACCTGTCTGTTCCTCACTTGGTGAGGACAGCCTGCAGGGATGAAAACAGCTTCGCCGAGTTGTTGCTCAAAGGTCCATGGTTCTATATCTGCATTTCGTAGAAAAGAACAAACATAAATCAACCGTCAAAGAAGATAAAGCTGCACAGGTTTTAGTACAGACCAGAATCTTACCAAATTCCTCCTTCAGTTGTTTCTTCTGGCTTTCATTCAAGAACAGAGTCTGGTCATGAACCGGGTGAATAACCTGAAATCAAACAGAACAAAACCATTCCAGATTTCCTCACACATATATATACAAGGGATGTGGTGAATGGTGATACATACAGCTTTAATAGGTTGGTTATTTGTGTGACGAAACTCATGCTTGTGCCTTTTCAAATACTCGACAAGTTTCGGAACATCCTCTCTTCGAAAGATGTCCCACACAGCACCACCATTCACAGCCTCTGACCTCTCATTGGCATTTCCCTCAGTTTCCTTTGGAGTATCCAGTTTCTGTTCTTGTATGGCTTTCACAGTTGGCTGTGGGAGACTATCTTTCGTGTCCCATGGGGCAGTTGAAAGAGCTGTTAGCATCACTAGTCCATTCTCCACCGAGGGATCATCTTCTCTTTGATATTTTGGAGATAATTTCTCTGTCTTCAAACGGACGTCATCATTAATATGATTCTCTTCAGCAACTGATTCGTTTGTCAGTGTTACATTCTCTTCAGCAATTAAACCCGCATCAACCTTTGGATCATGACCCGTCTCCATAGGAATAGGATCAGCCCTTTCAACGTTAGTACAGTCACCTGAAATTTGAGCCATATTCAGTAACATGTCTATTATACATTAACATAAACATGGGAGGGAAGGAACATGTAGCAATACCTTTTGAACCAAATATTTTATCAACTTCTTGTGAGCTGCACGGTCTCGAACTGCTATTTGATGCTTCTTCGTTAGCTGCTTTTTCCTTTAAACCATGTTCTACCAAAAGACCATTGCTTTTCTTTAAAGTTTCATCTTGATCCACTTCTTTCGATGACTTTTTTTCAACTTCTTCGTATTTTTTCTTTTCTGCTTTTATCCTTTGGTACTGCTTGGCAGATATATCCACTTTAGTTGTGTGTGTCAGCACATTGACCTAACACAAATTCATAGAACAATCAAGCTCAGCATTATAATAAAAGAAATGCATAAGATAAAGTGCAAAACCATGGTTTATCACAGAATGCACGTACCGCATCAGAGATATCACAATGTAGCTTTGTCAATGAATCTCCCCTACCAAGCTCTTCAGGGAAACCGTACGCAATGTATGTCTTGGGTCCAAGATCCGGCTTCAAAGACTTTTCTGGAAGTCTTGTTGCGAGATTCAAGATACCGGACTTTGGATCAGTGTAATCAAAGAAAGGCAATGCAGCAATAAACTCAGCATTATGCCTCGGAAGACGCTCTTCAAACAATGTCGATGGAGGCCAATCCTTCAGCTTCAACATTTCTGGCCAACCATTACGATGCATTCGACCTTCTAAGTAACCTTTAAAAAACTGATGAATGTTTATTTCAACCTCATACCAGTCCCAGCAATCCAAAGCTTTCACGCTCTTCGCCTCTACTTTACAATTAACCTTTGGATCCATTTCTCTACAAGCCCTCCACATAACCATTGGTTCCCAACTCAGTCCTGACGTCTTCTCAAGAACATTTCTGACTATAACAGGCTCTGCTCTCGTCCAATGCGACTGAAAATGAGCAATATCGTCTTCAGCCAGATCAACAGCGTTTGGAGTATACAAGAAATTGTCATGAGCGTTCTCCCTAAACGCCGCCTGCCTTCTAGTGGTGGAATCAGGATTGGTGATGCATGAGGAACATTCATGAGCAATGTTATCAACATCTGGTGGTGGACTAAACTGCAAAGTAACTTCCTCTGCACTCGTTATCAGTTTTTCAACCCAATCTTTTTGGCATAATCGCTTCAGCTCCAGTTTCGACGCACCACAACCACCAGGGCATGGAATGGTACCGTCTGGATTAAGCTTCCAGGTAGAGAAATGAGGTGGAACATAGGCTTTTGAATCTTTTCCTTCTGCATTTTCAGTCCCATCTGTTTCTTGATTGTGGAAGCCTTCTGTTAGTTCTTTGCAGCAAGAAAGACATATATCCCACAAACAATCCGGGTTTGGACAGCTTCTGACGAAATTGGCAATGGATGTGCGGCAGAGATCACTGTCGTACAGAGATGAAGAGACTGTAAACAATCAAGGAAATGTAGGGTAACATGCAATGCTGCGATTCAAACAAAAATGATTAACAAATGTGATTGAGTATGAAGCTTATTCTAATCCAAATGTAAAAGAATCAAATCAACTCTAAATGTTCTCCCAAATCATTCCTTTTTATTGTTCCACTGATTTAACAACAGTTTGACTTCTGATCTAAATAGTGTTGTCCTTAAACCTTTGTAGGTAATTTTCCACACTTTCTTCTTTATGTTACATCTCCAAAGTCCAAAGTCTGAAGCTTTGTTGTTGGGGACTGATGCAACGGCATCGTGCTATAAAATATGGGGTTTGGGTTTTGTCTTTATTTGCTTCTGATTGTTGTGTACGTGGTCATTACTCACATTAGTGGGTTTTAGCTTCTTATTTTGAAAGATAAATAAAAGAGAATTATATTTTCAAAACTGAGTTTTCAACCAAAAAGAAGATACCATATTTAATGCAAAACATAAACTTTTGGATTTTCTCCTGCAGATCCGGCCCAAAACAAATTTAGGCCCGACCTGCTATTTTTTTTATAATTTATGGCTCTAAATGGTGACCAAGAAATGTGGGAAATAATGAATTCCCCTTCATTTCTCAAAAAATACACCCTACACTACCCATGATTCCCTTTCGTTCCTTATTAAATTGGGAATTATAATGTAAAAAAACAAAATCAGGGAATAAAAGTTCAGACTTTGGTTGCAGTTGCATCAGGCCCCAACAACATTAGACTTTGAATGGTGACCATTAAAGATAGGCTGTGAATGGTGACCACTAGAGGAAATGAATAGAGAGGAATTCACAGCCAATCTTTTAGTGGTCACCATTCACAGCCTATTTAATATTTGTGTCTATAGACTATAGTGATTTGGATGCTATCACGAAGCAATAGACACAAATATAAAGCTATTCGTTTCTCTTCTCTTTTTTCTTGGCTTCGTTTCTCTTGTTTGGGCGTATGTATGATTGTCAGTTTCAATTTCAATAAAATTTCAGATGACAAAAAAAAAAAAAAAAAAAAAAACGTTTTTCAATCCAGATACAACTGCTTTTTCGTTTTGGCGTCCAGACGTTGCATCTAGTTGCAAATACTCAAGTAGTATTGTCTAGACCCTTTGGATGCAAAATCAATTAGATCATAAAATTGTGTTTTCGCGCATTCCCGCCAAAAGTGAGAGTTCGCATTTTCCGGTCAAAATCACAAATCCGTTACTAAATATCCTACCGAGAGAACCACTCTAATTATTCCCCAAATAAAAACTCAATTGAAAAACTACTCAATAAGATGATAATCTCATCAATCACAAACCCACAGAACAGAACCACTCTAATTATTCCCCCAAATTGTGAACTTGTTTACAATCGCTACATAAGCTTCTCTCTCCCAATTGCCTATTTGCAAAATATATAAGAGACAAAAATGAAGACTCAATACGAACTTTTTCCCCAAAACTAAAAAGATCAACCAGGCAAAAAAAAATGAAAAAGAAAAGCAAAAGAGGTCCCTGAGCTATGAAATCTTACCAGTAAATGCGTTCAGTTGGGTCAAGTTTACACCAAGTAACATCAGATTCTGTCACAGGAAAACCTAATCAACAAAACCAAATCGTGTGAGTGGAAACATAGAAACAAAGACGACACTGAGATTATGAGAAGATAGCAAAAGTGAGTCCACATACCTCTAAATTGTGTTTCAATCTCTAATTCATGTTTCTGCTCTCTATAAATCTCCCTAAGAGCTGGAAGCACCTTCACTAATAGGTACTGCAACTGCTTTAACTTGACATCCTCGTCTTTTTCACTTCGCACCTGCGATTCAGAAACACAAGAAATCAAAAATGAAGATAACATTTCATCTCAGTGATCTCAAAGCCACTCCTTTCACTCACTTTGATAGCCAAAGGTTCTCGCAAACAAGCTCTGCAATTGCAATTCCCATTACAGAAGGGACATGCAGCTCTAACTCCATCACTCGTTCTCTCCGGATACCTAAAATTTCTCACTCTCCGGACTAATTAAAGAAGACAACTTCAATCATTCATTAGCTAGTAGTATAAACGTAACACTGATACATACCATCTCTCGACGCAGTCAAAGCAATAGCGCTTCTTGATACACTTTGAGCAGAATATTAGATCACTCTTGCTCGTTAAGTTCTTACACTGATGACACGTTAATCCCACATAGTTTCTCGTTCCATCGGACTTTTCCTGGAAAAAACAAAAAATCATATAATCAAATCAAACAAAAATCAAATTCACTCATAGAACATTCAGCTCAATCTCCATGATTCTTCTCAGCCCAGAAATCAATGCTTTTCAAGGTAATCAAGACAATTAATTAACCTTCTCGGGCGTAGTAGACATGTCTCTTTGAATAGATCGTTTCGGAGTCTCGCCGCCATCAGATTTTCTTCCTCTCCCTCTTCCTCTTCCTCTTCCTCTTCCTCTACCTCTTCCGACTCGGTCAGGTGTCGAAGATCCGCTTCTCGCAGCATCCTTCTCTTTCTTCTTCACCTGACTTCCGTTTTCAGATCTCTCCCGATCTGACTCGTCGGGATCTGACTCTGATCTAATTCGCTTCTCCTTCCTTCCTTCCATCGCATTCTCTCTCTCTCTCTCTCTCTAACGGCCGACAAAGAAGCGGCCACCGGAATTTCTCGTCGATCGATCTATCGCCGTCTCTCTACTTCAGCTAATAAGACGAAAATGAGTGACGTGGCAACGATCCAGGCGTCGACGTTATAAAAAATTGTCGTTACTTCCGTTATCCGTATTTAATTTTTTTATTTCCTACTTTGCCCGGAATTATCTAATTACAGCAAAATGTTCCTTAATTTCTTAATCTACAGATTCAGTAACAAATTTGTTGTTACCCGATTTAGGCATTTAGCACGCTTTGTAGTCCCTTTTGGTGGGCTGCTTCTCATGAAGAGACAAGAGATAGTAAATACTAAATATGTAAAACGAGCTTGCAAGTGAGTGTGAGAGCCCACCATCATTAATCTTAATACGGGCCACAACAACGACATCATATTTATATTTAATTTATGTAATTTTCACCTTAATTAAGCCTTGTCAGGTAAGTGAACTAAGCCTGTTTATTTAGACATGCAAAAACTGAATGAAAGTTTCAGACTATTAATTTCAGTAGTTCGCTTTGAAACCTCCCCACCATCACAATTTCTTCTTCTTCCTCTTCTGCTTCAGATTCAGTCAAATTTCCTTTTCTCCCTCTCATTGCGGTTAAATTGGCCATCTCGGCTAAGTCTGGAAAAAATATTCCGGTGGCTGTTTCAAATGAGGTTACAACTTGTAACCATGGCCCATAGAAAGTGGGCCTAACCACCACCAAAATATTATAACATTTCAGTTATATCCTGTAAAACAGAATTTAATCAACAAAAGGTTCCATGGTCTAGCGGTTAGGACATTAGACTCTGAATCTAGTAACCCGAGTTCAATTCTCGGTGGAACCTCTTTTTTACCCAATGCTAGAATTTGCTACACGGACTCTACCTTTTGCTCATTTCTACTTCTCTAATGGAAGCTTCCATGTTTCTTCTATATCAGGAGTACATTTGTCAGCTAACTAATGGTCTGTGATCAAGAAGAAATTTTCACCGATAGAGGAAGGTATTAAGCAGTGCCTTCATTGAAGGGGAAAACAGAGTTTGGTAGAGGTAGTTATGTGTTTCCATCTTCCGTGGACAGAGAGAACGAAGGAGAAGGACAAAAGCTTTGACTATGGTGATGGTATTACTTGCAGCCAAAGCAGCAGGTTTAGTGAAGTGAAAGATCACAAACATTAGCAGAACAGAAGCTTCTCTGCTCTGCCTGCACCACCTTCTTCTTCAATGTCTCACTTCTGGGTAAGTCCTCTGCTTTATGCTCTGCTTCTACATCACATGGACAGCTAAACTAGTAGAGTTTATATCATAGAAATCCAAAACCACATTGAAATGTTTGCATTATCTTACTTTTTATATGAAATGAACAATCTCTGATATATCATTCATCTTCACACTATCGAGGTGAGAGTTCACATGGATTGTGTGGGATGCGCGAACTGAATTAAAATTGCCCTTCGAAAAGACGAGAGGTGAGAACTCTTGGATCATGTTATATTTTGTATGCATCATAGACTAAATTATATATAGAGCATATTTGAGCTTATAGGACCAATTAAAATTATAGCCATTAATTTCTTGGTTTTTATTTGGTGTTAAAAACAAAAAATGTTTATTTTGACCATCTCTCGTAAATAATTTATGATGGTGATATTTGGTTGATCATTTGTTTTATAATATCTTGTTAGAAAAAAGGATTACTGTGCTTTAGACATGGATAATTTGGTAGCGCAGTAAGTAACTGTTTCTAAATCATTGCATTTTAATACTAACATAGTATCCAACTCGAAATGACTAGAATTACTCGGACCAAGGCTGCCAACACCAAAATTGTTCGTGGGATGATACTAACTCAGATATTAAAACATTGGCTAACAAGTATTATTCTAAAAGGTAGAAAATTTAATCGTTTTAATTTTTAACTTTGACGATTGGAGTACAGTAGAACCTCTATAAAACAATACTCGATAAAACAATAAACACTATAAGATAATATTTTTCTCCGGTCCCAACTCGGGCCAGTGTAAAAAATAGCATAATGCGATAAGATGATAAGACAATAATATTTTTGAAACTCCTATGTAAAAATATAGTCCCAACAATAAGCTAAGACAATAATTATAAAACTAATGCATATATATCTAAGACAATTTAGTAAAATATGACTCCAATGTAGTTTGTATTTTCTGAAAATTGGAGATGTATTCTCAACATGCAGCCAAAAGTTGTGAAGAGTTCTCGAAGCCACAATTGCATCCTTACGTGTAACTACTTGCACATGTCCTTCCTCATCATCTTCAACTTCATCTTCACCATTAAGAACAGTAGACATAATTTCTTATAGACTTTGAACTTCTGAGCATGAAATATGTAAATAACAAAGTATAAGGAAAATTTGAATAAAAAATCTGAAAAAATATATTTCTATAAAGTTTCTTGTTTTTGATAGAATATTTCTATAAAATAATAATTATTGTTTTATCGATAAAATAATAATTATTGTTTTATCGATAAAATAATAACTCTATAAGATAATAAAATTTCAAAGTCCCAACATTATTGTTTTATAGAGATTTTACTGTATGTCGTAGTATTTTGGTTAGAATCTGTAAAATTCAATTAAAATTGTTGCATGGATAAATAAAGAAAAATACCGTCAAAACAAAATCCGTGCCAGATTAAATTCCTAAACAAAAAATCATGCCGTTAAAACAAGAGTAGAATGTGTACAAGTCTATAAACCAACAGTACAAACTTTTTTAACGGTACAAACTTTTTCATGTGTCCTTAATTTTTTCCAACACTTGGTAAATATCGGTCTGCGTGCATAAATCATGACCATCGATTTGATAAAATAACAAAAATCTTCACCGTCGATGTGAAACTGGACTGCAGAATTTTGTTAACTATTTTATGCGATCACGATCGTCCGATGTGAAAGTCAACAGCGCCTAAAAATTATGGCCATTGAATGTGTAATCGAAAATTTATCAAGGATGACATGTCAGTGATCCGTGTCTGTTTCAACTATAACGGTCCGATTTGAAATCAAATCTAACTTTGGAATTCAGCTTTTGTTGTACAAATTAAGAGTGTAATTAAGATGCTAAAATTTTACTTTAACAAATCATGATATGTAGTAATTTGGATAGTGAAATGAAAATTTTTACGTGCACAAAATATACACACAAACTATTCAATAGGTAAATAAATCAATAAGTAAGTTGGCCAAAATATTCCGCTGGGCTGTTTCAAATGAGATTACAACTTACAACCACGACCCATATAAACTGGGCCTAATCACATCAGAATACCTATCATAATATTGTAGTTAGAACTTATTAAATAGAATTTGATCAACAAAAGGTTCCATGGTCTAGCGGTAAGGACATTAGACTCTGAATCTAGTAACCGAGTTCAACTCTCGGTGGAACCTTTTTTTCTTTTTAACTCTGGCCATCTTTTCCCCCGGCGATTTTTGAATGAACCCTAAATACAACGCCGGCGGACAAACATCAAAAAGCTCTACGCGATATTAGAATCTCCATTGATCTCCTCTCAATTGCGAAATCTTTTTCTTTTCGTTTCCTTTATTTTGGAGCATGGCGATTTCGCTGCTTGATTCTAGAGAAACTATGGAGATGGTTACTACACAGAAAATCGAGGAAGCAGTGAAGGGAATACTCAGAGAAGCCGATATGGATCAAATGACGGAGTTCAAGCTCCGAACCGCAGCTTCTGCTAAACTCGGTTTCGACTTATCGGAGACGAATCACAAAAAGCTAGTCAGTGATGTTCTCGAGGCCTTTCTGCTATCGAATCCCGGTGACGAAGCTGCCAATGGTGAAGCATCCGTACCAAATACAGTGGCTCCGGCGGAGAAAGAGAAAGAGACAGGCTCTGTTGCTGCTGCCGCTTCCGCTATTGGTGAAGATGAACGCTTTATTTGTAAGGTTTGCAACTTCGTCTGCTGTTTATGTAACTATGCTTGATTCTCTGTATAGAGTAGAGATTGTGATGAGAAAAAGTTGTGGTTTTGATTTCAATTAATTGAAGTTATCTCTCTGAAATGATATCGTTGATCGTTAACTATAGTTATCGGAGAAGCGACATGCGACGGTTGAGAAATACAGAGGCCAAGCTTTTCTAACGATTGGGGAGAGTCCTCAGGAAAACGGAAAGCCTTTTAGAGGTAATTTGGAACAAACATTTGTGTCTTCTCATGAATTCTGAAGCTATGACTCCTTTTTGATTGATTTCACTAAGCCATTTTTGTTCTTGTGCTGAAAAAGTTTTCATGTTTTATCTCCATTAGGAGTACATTTGTCAGCTAACCAATGGTCTGTGATCAAGAAGAATTTCTCAGCCATAGAGGAAGGTATTAAGCAGTGCCAATCAAAATTAAGGTAAGAATGTTCTCATCTTCCCTAGCATGTTTTGAGCGTTTCCATCATCATCGCATAACTGTCGCTTATCTCTGTATTACACATTATGCAGATCTGAATCAAAACAGAATGGAGATACTTCTAAAGCTGTGGATAACAATACCACTTCCAGTTTTTCTATGATTGAGACTTCACGTTTTGATGGGAAGAGTTATCTTTGCTGGTCATCACAGATGGAACTCTTTTTAAAGCAGTTGAATCTGATCTACGTTCTCTCTGAACCTGTTCCTGTTACCAATACCTCTCAAGGCCATGATGCCGCGGGGAAGAAATGGTTGAGAGATGATTATTTGTGCCACAATCACTTGTTGAGCTCCTTGTCAGATCATCTATACCGTCAGTACTCGAAGAAGTTCAAACATGCCAAAGAACTGTGGGAAGACTTAAAGTGGGTTTACCAGTTTGAGGAATCCAATTCAAAGAGGTCACAGGTGAGGAAGTACATTGAGTTCAAAATGGTGGAAGAGAGACCGGTTCTCGAGCAAGTCCAAGACGTAAACAAGATTGCTGATTCCATAGTGAGTGCTGGTATGTTTCTTGACGAGACGTTTCATGTGAGCACCATCATTTCCAAGTTCCCACCGTCGTGGAGCGGGTTCAGCACCAGGTTGATGGAAGAGGAGTTTTTACCGGTGTGGATGTTGATGGAACGAGTGAAAGCTGAGGAGCTTGTGAGGAATGAAGCACAAAGGGTTACGTATAGACCAGCCACGGGATCTTCTCAGATGGAAAGGTTGCAGAGTGGAGGAGGAAGAGGATCTCAGAGCATAGGTTGGAAGAGGAAAGAGCCTGAGAGAGACGGGAGAGGAGTCATCGTCTGTGATAACTGTGGGAGGAGAGGACATTTTGCAAGGAATTGTTGGGGTAAGACATCTGATGAGAGAGCTTCTTGGAAACCGAATCGGGTTACTTCTTCAGCCACTGCACCTGTGGTTTCAGAGACTCGACCAACAACAGCCAACAATGATAAGGAGTAGTAGCTGAAAGCATAATGCTTTTTATAACTTCTGATCACAAAATCGCAGCAAAGGTGAGAGAGAGAGTTAAGTTCCATTCCAAGAGGATCAGCCTCTTCTGGCTTTAACATCTTGAATCATCCCTTCATTGTGTTTTACTCGGCTTATTCATCTGTCTAGTCTTAGATTTGTAATACTATAGTTCTTTACAAAGAGATTGGAAATAGAACAGTCTTGGGCTGATGTAATGTTATTGTAATTCATAATCCTTACTTGGTATACAAACCAAAAAAACATTCTCGACGACAAATTCTTAAGAGAGTGTACAAATTGGTGAATTGTGATGTATCGACTTGACAAACCAAACAGATCAACATAAGTCACAAACTTTAGCACAACAAACTAGCTGGAGACTTGGTCAATAACCAGATTGACCGTAAATGCAGACACCGATACCAAACGAAATCACAAGCTTAAACAACCTTTTGACTAGTACAATATCAAAATAATTTGGTGATCATACTGAATTACTGATGATGCTGTTTGAAATAGTAAACCTTTAATTCTTTTCTTTACACACGAATTAACGAGGATCTAACTCAGTGACTGTAACACTATTCCAAGTCACTGGTTGTGCAATCCCTCTTGATATTCCAGAAGGTCTGCGTAAAGTGAAAGAAGATGCATTGAACATTACAACAAGAGAAGCCATCGTTAATCTACTCTCTGCTTTCTCCTAGTAGTTAATCCATGGTTGTCTCGGTAGGAGATTCTTGTGCCTCTTGGCTACAACTTGAATTGACATGAGAGTCTGTGGAAGACTCGCGACGGGTGAAAGACGGATATTCACCGTCGTCGTCCTCAGGCGGCTTATAGTCTTGACCTCTCCAAATCACGATCTGCTCCTTGTCAAATGTCACCAGGACGCAAGGCACCAAATCCTTGACAAGGCAGAAACTTAGATGTTAGTGTTTGTTAAAGCAGCAAACCTTAAACAAGAACGAGACCAAGTGAAAGAAACATGTCAGTCACCCTAAGTTTTGCTCCAATCTTCTTGTAATCCTTTTTCTCTAGTCCCAAGCAATCAATCCGCACTAATTCACTCACGAGGAAGGCGTCTCTCACCATTGGAACAAGACTACCATAATACCCATTCTTTGCTGTGAAACAAAACACAAAAATGAATTCGTAAGGATTTTAATAACACCAGAGCATTTGCCTTTGGAATAAAGAAAAGATAAAAGGCATGAAAAAGGCGTAAGTAAGGACCGAGTTTTGTGAGGGCAGGAACCGCTAGCCCTTTCTTCCTCATTGCTTTAGTCTCTTCAATGCTTAGACCATCAATTGTTGTTTTAATCAGCCTAGGGTACACCGGTTCATGAGGTTTCCACAACATCAATGGGATCTTGGGCCTTTTCTTTGGATCATAGTTTCGCCCTCTATACAACACTAACGTACCACAGTGTTTAGAAACCACCTGCCCAAACGTTTTATCCTGTAACATGTTGCCACAAGTCAGAGTCATTCTTCTTCAGTTTCATCATCATCATCAAAGTTGAAAGATGATACCTCAAGGTGGAAGATAACGTTTTTCATGTCGAGAGTTGGGACTCCAAGACATTTGACCCTAACAGCTTCAGCGTGTTTCCAATGATTGTATATATCATTCAACATGTTGTGAGTCAAACCATCTCTCCCTACACATGACCAAACCAACCACTCTTAGCATACAAATAGCACTATACTAGAGACAATTCGTTAATTATTAGTGACTAAGAAAGAAGACACCTTTAAACTTTCCCGAATTTGATCATATGATGTATCATTGTTCACAAAATAGCACTATACATAAAAAGAAAGGAGACACTTTTCAAACAATCCCAAATTTGGTTTGATGAAGAATTACCGAGATTGATTTGCCTTTTGGTTTTGTTCCTCTGACAGAGATCTACCAGAAAGTTTCTTTCAGCTTCAGTGAGTGATGCTCCTTGGATTTTCTCTCTCACTTGCCTTCTTTTCTCTTCCAACTTCGGATCCTCCACTCCATCCACCGACTCCACCTTCGGATCTACAGCCGGCGCGCAGACTCCGGTCCATTCCCGGTCCAACCGATCAGGACCGAACGGGGAGTACTTTGGTTCTCTCAGTCCAATTGGCCTCACATTGGAGTTACTCTCCGTGTAGCTGAACCGGAAATCGAAAGGAAGATCGGAGTGCACCTTCTTCACACCTTCCAGAGACGAAGGCGGACGGTATTGCGGCTTCGGATTCTTCTTCTTCTGGTTTGGGTTTGGGCTTTCAGAGGATAAAGGCGGTGGTGGTTGGAAATTGTAATGGTCTCGGAGCCGTGACGACGAGGAAGAAGAAGAGGCGGATTCTGTTTCGCCAGAAGAAGAAAACGTGTGAAGTCGGCGAGTGAGAATCGCCAAGGAGAATGATGAATTCTGGCGGGAGACACGAATCAGTGACATGAGATTTTTTAGTCGGACGGAAGAAGCTCCGGCGAGGGTTTGAAATGCTGCTGCTAAAGTCATTTCCCTCGATCTGCTTTTCCCCAACTAATTATAATGGGCCGTAAATTGGGTTCAACAAAGGTTTTCTATAAACGGCCCAATTTCAGAGACTAGTCATTTGAGAGAACCCTTTTAAATTTTTTCAAGACAGAAGAAAATATTGTTGATGATAACAAAAAGACGTTTACTGACTAAAATAAGTACAAATTTGTGATGTATCTATCTGACAAACCAAGCAGATCAACAACGTAATGTATGAACTGATACCAACTGAAATCACAAGCTCAAACAATGTTTTTACTAGACAATACCAAAATCACAATTTGGTCATACTGATGAATGATACTTTTTGAAGTAAACATGTCGTTGCACACTAATAATTAACGAGGATCTAACTCAGTGCTTGTAACACTATTCCAAGTCACTGGTTGTGCAATGCCTCTTGATACTCGATCTCCTGTGTAAAAACCGGGTTGCGAAGGTCTAGGTAAAGTGAAAGAAGATGCATTAAACATTACAACAACAGAAGCCATAGTTGGTCTACTATCTGCTTTCTCCTGAACACACAACAAACCAATGTGAATGCATTTCATGATTTCATTACTTAAACCTCCCGTGTTAATCAGACTTTGATCCACAATGTTTAACACTTTCCCTTCTCTCCAGCTTTTCCATGCCTATATTTGTACACAAATTGTAATATTAATCAGAATATGTCCACAAGTATATTTCATAACACAAAACAGAGAACTCTATTTATTTCTTTATTTATTCACACTTACATAGCTGAGGAGGAACAATGAGCTTTCTTCCTCTGGAGACCAATTGTTTCTCTTTCCCGTAATGATCTCTAGGATTAGTACTCCGAAGCTATATACGTCGGTTTTCACCGAAAATTCCCCACTCATCGCATACTCTGGAGCCATGTAACCGCTGCAACCACCATATAAATTTCGTTTTTTTTTTTTTAATTTTTATGAATTACCAAGAAGTGCTTGCCAAGTTAAATGGTGATTTTTTTGGGGAGCTTACTATGTTCCTGCAACTCTCTCTGTAAACCTAGTCTGACTTGTTTGGTCTGTATCAAACAACTTAGCCATTCCAAAATCGGCGATTTTCGGAATCATTGCATCGTCCAATAGAACATTGCTTGCTTTAAGATCCCTATGAATGATGTTGAAACGAGAATCTTCATGGAGATAAACAAGACCTCGAGCAACACCTACGATTATCCTATAACGTGTCTCCCACTCTAATATCATTCTCCTATTAGTATCTGAGAAAGCAAAACGCTTTGGATCAAATGATCAATCAATATCAGTAACTAGAGATAAAGATGCTATATAGAGTGGATCGGAACATACCAAATATGAAATGGTCGAGGCTTGTGTTCTTGAAGAACTCATAGATGAGTAGTCGTTCTTGTCCATATAAGCAGAAACCTAAAAGCCTAACAAGATTCCGATGTTGAAGTTTCGCAACTAATGAGACTTCGTTTATGAACTCATTGTCTCCTTGTCCTGATCTCATTGACAATCTTTTCACAGCTATTTCTTCTCCAAAATCAAGAACACCCTAATGGGCATTAAGACACATTTAAGAGATATTTAATCATAATTAAGCATTATAAACAATCAATCTAATCACCTTATAAACTGCACCAAAGCCACCTTCTCCAAGCTGGTTATCGCAAGAGAAATCATTAGTTGCTAATCTTATGCTATCGAAGTCGAATTGCAATAATTGGGCATCTTTAATCTTGTTCTCTTCCACATATTTGCCTGATCCAAAAGCGGGAATTATCCCAAAACATAAAGAAAAGTTAAAACTCTTGAGAAAATAGTTTCAACTTTCAACCTGAAATAATTGACTTTTGATTAAACATTTCCACCTTCACGTCTTTGTTTTTCTTTTCTTTTGTTCCTTGTCAGTAAGATGTAAAGGCAGGCAACAATTAAGACAAAACCAACAACAGAGCCCACAGTGGCGAGTATTATTTTTAGCTCGTCTCCTCCTAAGAAAAATAAAATAAAAAGTTGTTAATCTGCCAGAAAAAATAAACTAAGTACAAATAATCTCAGTTTCTATATATGTCTATATACATATTATGTTGCAGAAATAAAACGTCGTTTCTATGATATCTTCATTTTTAGGTTTCAAATTACAATGGCTTTTATTGTTCAAAGGCTGCAATTGTTGATCAACTTTTTTTAGGTTACAGGAGTAAGTAGTACTGTTTCACCTGAACCAGCATTTGTTGGTGGATCAGACTCATACTCGTTCGGGTAGAATATCAAGTTACTCTCTATCTGAAAAATGCAGCTGGGACAAAACCACCTAATCCCAACTCTCCCTTTTGTCGCGTTCCCGAACCCATAACTGAGACAGTCGTTGCAGTCTTTCTCAGACAAATCAGGTGTGCACTGCACGGCAGCGAAGAATGTCGTGTTAGACGGAGTACCAAGGCCATTTCCTTGAGCATACTTCCTCTTAGAGCCACCTGCTGCAGCGACTGGTCTGAGTCGGTTAAGTAACTCGCTCTGCAACCTAATAAACTCGTTTCTATCTTCCGTGGCGCTGCTCGGGTTCGGAGCCTCCGAGACAGGGTTCGTTTCGAGTTTCCCCAAAATGGGTTTGTCTGAGTAACGAAACATACATCTCGTGGCACGTACGTAAGCTTCTCTATGTTGTGGACATGATGTGGTTAGATTAACTGCGGCTTGAGCGATACAGTTTAGACAGTCTACTCGCGTGAGCGCTCTGTTGCAGAGTGCCATGGCCTCTACTCTTTCTTGATCAGAGTTTCGTCCAACGGCGAGGTCGTAGAAGTTGTAGGGGTTGGGAATGAGTGTAGGGATTGAAGAGACAAGACTGTTAAGGTTTTTGGAGAATTGGGAGTTGGCGAAGTTGCTTTGTAGTGATGAACATGATGGCTGTGAAGGGATATTCCAGACAGGATCGTTTATGTCGACTTGCTGTGCCAAACCGAGAAATGGTACGAACAAGAAGAAGAAGAAGATCAAGTTATGTGGTCGAGAAGAAGAACAACAACCAGTCATGACCAAAGCGGATTTTGAATGTGTTAGTTTCATCAGGGTTTTTCTTTATTTATATATTTTTAACCGAACCAAATGAAACGCCAAGACCCTGAAAGGTCAAGTCTTCGGAAATGTTTTTGTTTTTAAATTAGACGTAAGTTGTAACGTGTTGTTTTTTTTTTGTTAAAGATAACGTGTTGTTTGTGTCAATAGCAATAACTGGGATTAAAAGAAAAGAAAAAAGTTTTATCGTCTGTGAGTTTAATAACAATGAAGCTGCGGTTGTAATAACCTAAAAATTTACAACTAGCAACCTCAAGGAACAAGGTTTTGGGTGTTAAATTCAAAATTTGTAAAGCGGACAACAACTTTTCTACCAATTATACCAGACAATAAATAAATAAAAATTAGTTGTGTAAAATATAAAACAAATTTTGATAAACTGAACGTTGTCAAGTGTCAACAACATCTGTGTGTGTAATTAGGATAAGAGAGTGACTTTAACGAACGTTATATATCCATACATTGGAAATAATATTGTCCATACGTTGGAAGTAATATTGTCCATATTCTTTGAATCCCGAATCCAAAATATTAAGCCTTTTTCATTAAGTTTTTCGGCTATGCATAAAAAATCGTTAGTTATGTGGTTTATAATTATAGTGTGAGCGAAATTTGTTTGAAAACAAATCCACGCTTGTGTTGGTGACTTATGAAGGGTGTTCTCACCGTGAAAGCATGGATTTGTATAATTAGGACATTTTTGCTCTGAGTTGTAATAGATAAGTCGCTTGCAAAAATTAGATGTCTATATTCACCCACCTTATGTGAATAATCTGATATCTTTATTCTTCTCTTAAGAAAAAAAGATCTCGTACCTCTGAAATGAAGCGACCAGTGATTCCACAATAGCCCTGAAATTTAACTTAACAACTGGGCTTAGATACTAAGCATTGTTGGGCTCTAATATAGGCCTTAAATTCCCCTCTGTTTCGGGTGCCGACTGCCGAGTATTGAATTGCTTGTTCCTCACTGTTCAAAGATCTTTAATTCTGCGTAAGAATTAGTATTTAGTCTTGTAGAAGTATTTATAAGTTACTAACTGAGCATGATGATTAAGCAGCCAGCATAGCATAGTGTCATGTCCGTAAACCGTACTTCATGAGTCCACTATATGAAGTTAGATATCCTTGGCTAATTAAGGAGTTCTAATTCTTTTTCAGTTTTCAGAATCTTGAGGAACATGTTTGCTGCTTAATTGCTTTGCTTGCACAGTTGCATTGTGTTTGAATTGGTGATGTTCAGTTCAATGAACTTTCTTGCTCTCCTTTTCAGATTTTATTGTAAAACGGCTCCAAACGGTTAAATTTTAGAGTCGAAACAGAGAATAATACTTTTATTTTCTGGCCCTTTTTCTTTAATTTGAAATGATTCATCAAGTTCTTTTTTCCTTTTTTATTTTTTTTTCTATAAAATTCAAATGAAATTCCTCTTTTATCTGTCTTGATTCCCTCTTACTTCTTATTTGTTGAAATTCACAATTGGAGGGATAATAACGAGACTGGACATGGAAGAAAGTTCCAAAAGTAAAGTGGCTCATAGTCTCAGGATAAAATCTTTAAATGTTCTTTGGAATCTTCGTTTTCATTTCTTTATTACTCTGTTTCTTGTCTGTGCTCGTTCAAATCGAGTCTATTACATTACAAAACTACATTCTGGGACTTTGTGCTTCCTTTTCTTGTTACCTGTTATCTTACCATTTTATTTGTCAGAACTCAACAATATCTATGCAAATAAAGAGGTTTTTTAAATTATAAAATGTACTTATATCAGTTTCATAATTTTGGTTGCACAAATATTTTTGTCTTGATTAAATCAAGGTTTCTTGTCCTTATGTAAAACTTAAAAGTAAAACGGTGTTTGTTGGGTACATGCAAGATGAAAAAGCATGCATGCATATATATATGCATTATATATTTGGATTTTTTTTTGTAGATTTAGATTCTCATACTAATCAAAAACTAGAATAGTTCATTTGTTACTTACCCGTTGCTAGCTTTAGATATGTTCGTTGTCCTTTTTGATGTGTGCAATAATGTCTAAATTAGCTAAAGCCAGCTTGGAGATTGCAAATTGACACTTCAAATTTCCCCACTTCATAACTATGTGATATCAAAATCATTTCATTATGACGAGCGAACTCTTGACACCTACGCTTGTCACTTGTCAGTAGTTTGCTTTATTTTTGATCGCTTGTTTCCTTTGAAAAGGTCAAAAAACTTTACTCATCATTTGGATATTGATTAGTAATTACAAAAAGACTTTCCATTTGGATATTCCTTAATGCTTTTCACTGCTTGCATCATTCACTTGCTTTCGAGATAATTTATCGAATACCTTGAAACTAGACTAATTAACCAACGAAAATTTATAACCTTTGTTTATTAGTAGTAATTTACTCATTTTTACTAGTTTTACTTTTATGTTACCATTTCGATAAGGGGTATATGTTTTAGGTGTGACGTGTTGGACGAATCTAAAAGTTGAACGATCCCCAAAGATGTTCCGAAGTGGCTTATGAATGTACTTTGCTTTCATGATCTGTTCTTCTCATAAATAGTCTCTTTTGTTGGTTCCCTTTTCTTCTCTTTATCGAAAACATGTTACGTTGTTTCTTTGCCACGCCTGATTTTGAATTAAAGGCTGACCTAAACATCCAAACCCGACTTTTGCTAAAGCTTACCTATGTCACTTTCCGGCGAGTTTTCTTTTCTTTTTTTGTCGATCGAGCCAAATCAAAAAAAAATCTTGGAGGATAATTTCTTTGGTCTCTAAATTAAATCAGACTTATTAAAATACCACATAGGTAGTAAACTATTTAATGTAAAACCATTAGTAATAAGATAAGATGAATAATTGTAGACATTTGTTTTCTTTGTCTGAATGAATGATAGAGTATATAAGTTGTATTTTCTCTCTTTTCTGTGCAACTTGCTTCTTTCTAATAAAAGAAACACATTGTTCCTAATCTTTAATGTCTTTTAATTTTGAAAATGCCACATTTAATTTTTGAATTAATATTTCTTTTTCTTGTCCCTAGTGGGCAGATTCCTGACTCCCATATCTACACGAAACACTGGAAATAGATGGAAAAAAAGACCTCAGATAAAGACAGAGCATGAAACACTTGTAGATATAAAAGACACACACTTCATCAGAGAGAGATCCATCTTCTACATAGAACCATGAGTGCTGTAAAAGAAACAGAGCAAGAAGCTGGAAACGTGACAGTAATGAAACTACCGGTGTTACCAAATAATCCCCACACTCACAGCAACTCTCTGTCATCACCCATTCACAGTTCTATGGCAGCTTCAGTCCCTTTTAGCTGGGAAGAAGAGCCTGGAAAGCCCAAGCAACACTCTTCTTCTTCTTCCTCCTCTTCCTCCTCACCATTAACTCCTTATTCCTCATCTTCACCTGAAACCCACAAGTGTTTGGAGCTACCACCAAGGCTACACTCACTTGAAAAAGATGGAGGATCAGTTACAAAACTAAACTCGCCCAACACGGTCTTTGATGGACCTTACAGCATGACGAGGTCAAGAAGATTGGATTCACCTTCTTTTAGGATGATGGTGAAGGTTAGTGGTGGTGACTGTTATGGGTCTTTCAGGAGCGACATCTATGGCGATCTAGAGGATGTTGATGAGGAGACCAAGCACCAGAACATGAGTAGTGGCTCTTTAGCTCTTGTGAAGAAGAGAGGGAGATTAGGGTTTTTCGGGTTTAGGAAGAGGAGAGCATTAAAGGGGAAAACAGAGTTTGGTAGAGGTAGTTATGTGTTTCCATCTTCTGTGGACAGAGAGAGTGAATGCGGAAAAAATGAGGAAGAAGGAGAAGACAAAAGCTTTGGCTATGGTGATGGTATTACTTGCAGCCAAAGCAGCAGGTTTAGTGAAGTGAAGATCACAAACATTAGCAGAACAGGAAGCTTCACTACTGATCTGCCTGCACCACCTTCTTCTTCAAAGTCTCACTTCTGGGTAAGTCCTCTGCTTTTTGCTCTGCTTCTACATCACATGGACAGCTAAACTAGTAGAGTTTATATCATAGAAATCCAAAACCACATTGAAATGTTGAGCCTTACAAAAATAATGTTTTTGGAATGGAACTCTTATCTTGTATAATTAGTTTTACAAGATTTTATTAGAAAAATCATGAATGAGAGCTCTCTCTCTGTGTTATTGTATATAAATTATATCCTAAAGTTAGATTTTAACATTGTAATGTGGTTGGATCAGACGAATGTGTATGCAGGACTAAAGCAAGTGGTTCCATGGAAGAACAAGAAGACTACAGGTTGAGATTCTTCTGCTCTATATCAAAGATTTGAAAGATAAACATCCCAAAACCAAGAAAGCCCTTCTGATTTCTACAAGTCTTCTCTTCTCTCCAGCCTTTTGGTGTATGATTTTTTTTAATCTTTCCAAAGATATTGATATTACCATTAAAACCTAGTGTGAAGCCCAGCTTTTTCACATGTGTTGTTGTTGCGTTTGTGATTGTTTGAATGTTGTGGAACTTTTGTAAAGAGAAGCAGAGAATCTTACGAACGTATCATGATCATGGTCCAAGGGATATATATGTTCATCATTTTGTGCTTTTTGTCCTCACCTTGTTTGTATGTAATCATATTTTTAAAATTTGCTTCCTTAAAATGCTCTTTAATTCTTGACTGTTTAATCACGCCACTAAGATAATATACGCTCTGACCCAAACGGGTGCGTTTAATACTGAGGAGATATCTCTCAAAGACTGGTCAATCAAAAGATTATGCGTTCTAATTAGGTCGGTCAATCAAAACGATTATGCATGAAGAAAACGGATACCAAAACGGGACAGCTGGTTCTTCTACACGTGTCGTATACGTGTCGATTCACGGTGGAAAATGAGTGGACCCATAGTACCTTTTCTCTCTTCTCGTTATCCTATTGAAACTGGGAAAGGCCCTAAACAAGACCACAACTGCATATTTTGGGCCACCGTAAAAATTAAAACATTCGGCCCATTAGAGTTTGATTTCTTGTAACAAAGAAAAAAACATATCATCAACTTAACTGCAAATTGTTTTAGTCGAAAATTAAGATTACATGAAACTTTTTCCTTTCGTCAAAAGGTGAACATATTACAGTACTTGAAAGTTGCAACTTGATACAAAAAAAGTACAGGCCAACGGTTTTTTCCACCAATATATTATTTTTCTGATTAAAAAAATTAAGAACTTAAGGTTATTTTTTTGGGGACAAACATAGATTTTATAAAGCAGCCCTTTTTTTTTCTTAAAGACACATAGAATTTAGAAATCGATCACACTCCATCTGTGGAGAAAATGACAACAAAGTACATGACAACTTAAGGTCATTTTAAAAATTTGAAAGCATAATTAGATCTTAAATACTTTGTATCGAGTTGCTAGTCTGTTTTTATTTGGCCGCGGAAGAAAACTGATATATTATTATGCTAAAAATGAACTACTTGAAGATGATAAACCTTCTATTAAAAAAGAAGAAGAAGAAAAAGATAAGTCAAAACAAACACACCACTAAAATGCCCATAAAAGTGAAACCCAACACTTCTAAACTTTAGCCTCGAAACATTCTCTCTCTAAGTCATCTCTTCGAAAATCAGGTCAGTTCATCTTCTTCCCTTTTTCTCTATCTCCTTGTTTCTTCTGCAATTACTTTCTCTCTTTTCTTTTCCTTTTCTTTTTTTAACTTCTTCTGCTTTTTAGTTGATGTGTTTATTAGGGTTATCTTTTTTACTTTTCAAAGCTTGATCTCTTTCCACCTTCTAATTTCTTTGAAATTTTGTTCCTTTCTAAAAAGATGTTTGGCTTTATAGAGACGAACTCCTATAACACCTTTTTATTAGTTGATCTGGAGAATTTAAGGGGAAAAAAGTATATAGTTCCCTCTATCGTCCTTGTAGAACTTTTCTTGCTCCTTCATACGTGTAAAAAGTGATTATTTGTTCCCACTCCCTCAAATCATATAGTGAATTAATCTAGATCGTTTATATAAATTGCATAGTTTCATGTGTAAAATAATTCTCTATAGTTTTTGGATCATGGACTTGTAACTTATTATGTACTTTCAATAAGTTCTATTTATTTATTTATTGTATGTGCTCTATACTTTTTGTATGTTCCACTTTAGTTCTCATTCTTGAATATACTTGGTGGGTTGATCATACATACTTATCACAGGGATTATAATCTGTGAATTGAAGCTCGCATCATGGACCATCATCAGTACCATCATCATGATCATGATCATGACCAATACCAACATCAAATGACTATTACTAACAATAATCCATATAACACCATCAACACAGCACCACCACCAGGAACAACAGCTACAACAACAATCGATTCAACAACAATGATAATGGATGATGAGAGGAAGATGGTGACGACGATGACCACACGGCCACAAGATTCAAGAAACTGTCCAAGATGCAACTCAAGCAACACCAAGTTTTGTTATTATAACAACTACAGCTTAGCACAGCCTAGGTACTTGTGTAAGTCTTGTCGGAGATATTGGACTGACGGTGGCTCTCTCCGTAACGTCCCCGTTGGCGGAGGTTCTAGAAAGAACAAGAAGTCTTCGTTAATACTTCCTAATTCCTCTACTTCATCTTCCACCAAGAATATCCCAGATCTAAACCCTCCTTTTGTCTTCACATCATCATCATCAAACCCTAGTAATGACCTCAGCCTCTCCTTCTCCGCACCTAATATGCAAGACAAGCGAGCTCAAGGGCATTACAGTCATTTTACAACGGGAGGGCAAGCTACAACGGGAGGGCAGAACGGTCTTTTCGCAGCTCCTATGGGAATGATTCAGTTTCGTCAAGGGTATGATCATCACCACAACGACAAAACAAATCTTGGGATTTCATTAGATAGGAATGATGAAGAGAAGACTGGTAATCATGATAACTTGGTTGTTAATGGAGAAGGAAGTAAGTTGATGTTTCCTTATGGAGATCATGATGGACATAATCATCACCATGAGAGACACGATGATGGTAACAAGAAGAGAGAAAGTGGTTCAAGCAATGAGCTATGGAGTGGAATCATCCTAGGTGGTGATAGTGGTGGACCAACATGGTGATATGAACATTGTCAAAAGGACAAGAAAATAAAGACAAAAGCAAATAGCAAAAATATGTGATGTTAGATTTGGAATTTTCAGACCCGGAAGAGTCGCCTTGGGAGGAGCATGATGATTATTCTTTCCACTTTTTAGAAAATCCTCTGTTCACTTTCCTTGTCTTTTGTTTGGTGGAGTCGCTTATTTGGCTTTTAGTTTTGCCTTCTTGCTACATATATATGTGTCTAATTCTAGTTGTTACATAGTCTTATATGATATTAATTTTTTTAACTTGATCACTAAGTTGTTTGCGTTTATTGTTCTTTTTCTTTAAAAAGAATATTGTTAGGTTTATATCGTTTTAAAGAATTTTTTGACGGAAAGACCAAAATCAACCAAGATAAACAAACTATAACATAAAGCATCAAAACCAAGCAAGACCAAAACCAAGTTGTGTTCGTTTTTAATGAAAAACTAACTAACAATGAATGAATGAATGAGTCTATAATCACTTTTATATTACTTAAGATCTCATTTCAATTTCCATTTAAGATTCATAACTAACTTTGAACTAAAACTTGAGTATCTACCTAATTAACCCATACTTGTGTACATTTGGTACAAAAAAATGGAGAGAGAAAAGGTCATCTTTGGTCTTCTCATAAGTCGTAAGCAAAAAAAACAAATTAAAACAAATAGAAAATAGAATCTCAGTGGGTATTTGAGAAAACGATTTGTTATTAGAGTAGTCTTTAGTTGGAGCAGATATATTGTCGTGTTCTGTTATTACAAAATAATAATATAATAAGAATACTATGTTACATTGCATTTTTTATGATATTTTTTTGTATGTCACAGTTGTTTTGTATTCGAAACGCTATCATGTTCATGTACAGTTGGTCTCCTTGGTTTCCAAATAGATAAGACTTTGCTTTCGAGATGAAATCTCCCATAAACTGAATTGAATAAACATTATATGCAGAGCCGTCGGTGAGTAGAGTATTGGATGGCCACAAGCTAAGAAGAAAAAAGGGCCGATTTAATTGACTAGAAATGCATTAAAAGAAAAAATATTTATAATTGCAGTTTATAGGGTTTGAACTCACAACGAGTTGTAGTGGAGATCAAGCGCACAAACCACTGGACGCCGAAATATTCTATATAAATATTAGGGCCGTAAGCTGCAGCTTATGTTCCCAGGGCCGGCTCTGATTATATGAAAACTAAATATGTGATCGTTCAAATTTGCATGAATCTGGTGACGTAAATATGAATTTTTGAGATCATGCAAATTCCCGTGTCTGGGTACAGGTGAGGAGAAAACACAGGTTAATAGCTTGCTTACTGGAGTATTTAATGACATGTTAAAGGCCCCATTTTGTGTGATTGGCCCAATACAAATTCATACCTCTCTCAAAAGGCCCAAACAATTCATACAGAGAAAGCTTGTGTTCCTTACTCATACTACAACTCTACAAATACAATTATCAAAGCTTCATATCATCTTTCTCCCCCTCCTAATCAATCAAAAACAACTCTCAAATTAACCTTAAAAATAAACACGACGCACGGAAAATCCGTCTCCCATATAATCCATGATGCTTGACAAAAATCTTATCTTAGTTGTCTCAATATGAGACTGCTAAGGTAAAAAAAAATCATTTAGGTAAAATACAGTTTTTAAGCTAGCAATCAAACTTTGTTGTTATTTTGTTGTTGTACTTGTAAAAACGTATTAAATAATCGAAAAAACAAATAAAAAACAGGATGGGAGACAAAAAGAAGTAACGAGATATGTAAATGACGCATGACTTTTATGCCACATTGTTTTGTTCCACCAATATGTCGTGTCAGCAAAATCCGAAATAATCCATGAAGAAGTTGAGATCACATTCAAATATTTTGTTTTGTTTAAACATAATGTTTATACTTTGTCATGCAGAGCTAACTCGGTCAAAATTCTGGAAACTCTGGCCATTATTCAATCAACATTTGAGTGCCAATGATTTAGATATTTTTTAAAGCGGAATAGACCATTAAATCGATTTCAATCGTGACCTAATTCCAACACGATATATATTTATAAACAAATTCGATAAGACAAAAAAAGTTAAACCGCTCTTCTTATCACATCACGAACAAAAGGTGATAAGTTGAAGGGCACTTCCTATACATTCACAAGACCCACCCAATAGGGAAACCCGAAGTAGCTAAAGTGGTTCAATATTTTCTTCTTTGTATTCTTTCAATTAATTCTCGACCGCACATAAAAGAATAAAAAAAAACACAAATACAAATCTTGCTTAGTGATAATATTATATAAGTACGTCCACTTAGGGCAAGATAACATTTTGATAAGGGAACCCAACAATTAAATTAGGTCTCTTATCATTTGGGGCTCACTTAGTGACCTAAATTAAAGTTTTTTGATAAAGACCTAAATTAAAAGTTAGGTTATGTCATCTTTATCTTCTAATTGGTTCTACTAATCTATACATGTAAGTAACTCCCATTCTCCCAAGAATTGTGAATATTTTTTATATGTCCATTACTAAAAGGTAGTGTAAGTCAAACGTGCCACTTTCATTTATATTTGACATCACTTAGTGCATGTAATAGTAATATTCAATTTGAACCTATTTGCATGACAAAACTAAATAAATCAGATGAGACAAATAATTAAATTATTTACGTGATTCCTCTGAATTCTCTAATCAATCAAAAGGAATATGCGAAGGGTTTCATTGCTTACGAGTTACGACCATCCACTTTTCATGTATTGTTTACATAATGTGAAATCGTGTAAGGAAAAAAAAAGTGAAATCGTGTGTGTATGTATATGTACGCATGCATATTGCAATAAACACATGACGCACACATAAATCTTTTGATCTCACTTTAGTGGCTACTGGCTAGTGCATGTAACAGTAATCTCATTTGTTAGATTCTAATAGATTTTATTTAATACTTTCGTGTATGGGACTATGAAAGAATGGTTTGAGATGAAAAACTCAATACGGAAGAGCCTCTCATGCAAAATATTGTCGATTTTAGAGTTTTGAGCTAATCAACCTTTTGGTTGAAGGAATTTGAGTAAAGAGCTACTCAATCATATAAATGATACCTGGTATTACATAAATGATACAATACTACGATCCAAATAAACAGTTACAAGTTAGGGCTGATTACGTAAAATATTGGACCCTCTTTTAGACGTGCAATTATTGTAAATGAACTGAAACTTCCTTATATCTTGGGATGTAAAATTTATAGAGAATCTACGACAATAATGAACAGACGTTGCAGTGAAATTGATGGATGTACGAAGGTGTCAACATCAGTACGTACTTGTGCGATGACGACTCTGTAACACAAAGTTATAACTAATCATATAACTTTATACTAGGCCACTTCATCTTTTTGCATATCCAAGTGGGAGAGAGTGATCAATAATATATTGTATAGTAGATAACAAATAATATTACTTCACCACTTAAAATGATTTCAAGAACTTTGAAAAATAGTAATACCTATAGTAGTGCCACCCTTATAATCTCTATATATATAACACCACAAATTGCATTGCTCATCAAACAAACATTTCTTCACCAAAATATTCATTTAATCGAATTTTTCAGTTAAGGGTATAGTAACATGGCATCAAAAGAAGCAGGGAAGCTAGAGTGGAGGATAAGTGTAGACAATGGGACAACAGAGAGACTGGTGCCTAAATCAGGACTAATCGAAAAGATCTTTCTTTGGCTAAAGGGGTTGGTACTGAAGGTTATGGTGGACCCAATCGCAAAGTTTATGCGGAAGGCTTGGAGGATTGGAGCAGATGATCCAGCCAAAGTTGTTCATTGCCTGAAAGTAGGACTTGCACTTTCATTAGTCTCAATCTTCTACTACATGAGACCTTTGTATGATGGTGTTGGAGGAAATGCTATGTGGGCAATCATGACTGTTGTGGTCGTCTTCGAGTCCAATGTCGGTATGTAAACCAAACTCAAAATCAAAAAGTTTCCAACTTTCTTCTTCTTAAAAAAGTTAACTTGACCTACAAGTATGTGTATGTATCTGCATGTACAACAGGAGCAACATTCTGCAAATGTGTAAACAGAGTGGTGGCAACTATATTAGCTGGATCACTAGGCATTGGTGTTCATTGGGTTGCTACTCAATCAGGAAAAGCTGAGATTTTTGTGATTGGATGCTCTGTTTTTCTCTTTGGTAATGACCAAAACCCTAAAAGGATCAATTTTTCTTGTAAGTAACCCTCAAAAAAGGATCGATCTTTATTAAAAAAATTCCATTCATTCTTGCAGCTTTCGCAGCTACTTACTCGCGGTTTGTGCCGTCATTCAAAGCCAGATTCGACTACGGAGCAATGATCTTTATCCTCACATTTAGCCTTGTCTCAGTAGGAGGTTACAGAGTAGACAAGTTGATTGATTTGGCTCAGCAAAGAGTCTCAACTATCGCAATTGGAACATCTATATGCATTATCATTACTGTCTTCTTCTGTCCCATCTGGGCAGGATCTCAGCTTCACCGTCTTGTTCAACGTAACCTTGACAAACTTGCCGATTCTTTAGACGGTAAGGGAATAAGAAAACCTAACTTCTTATGGAAGATTTCACGTTAGCCAGTGCCCTGATTATATATCATTGTAACTGCAGGCTGTGTAGCAGAGTACTTCAAGAAGAAAGACGCCTCGACGAATGAGAATGAAGATGAAGAAACTGACGTGAAGTTGCAAGGGTTCAAATGTGTACTAAACTCTAAGGGAACAGAGGAATCCATGGTAACGTAACAGATTATCTCTATGGGGATAAAAAAAAGTCTATTGCCTTTTTGTTTTGCAGCCGCTTATTCGCCTTTTGTTGATCTCTCTCAGGCGAATCTAGCGAGATGGGAACCAGCACATGGAAGCTTTAACTTCCGGCATCCATGGAAGTTATACGTAAAGATAGGTGCTGCTATGCGGAGATGTGCTTATTGCCTTGAAAATCTCAGTATCTGCATCAACTATGAAGCAGAGGTAACCTTTTATACTACTACACACTAACTTTTAGAGGTTGTGAAACTAAAACTAAGCGTCTTCTTCTTCTTCTTCTTCTGCTTCTACAGGCACCAGAACATGTCAAGAAGCATTTCGGAGAAGCTTGTATGAAACTGAGCTCAGCTTCTTCAAAAATCTTAAGAGAATTAGCGGATATGATGAAGAACACAAGAAAATCTTCAAAGATGGATTTCCTGGTGTTTGATATGAACTCTGCAGTTCAGGAGCTTCAAGAAACCTTAAAATCTGTTCCAATCAAAACCAACAAACCTGAAGAAGAAGAAGAAGAAGTTCCATCCGAAGAGGACAACAACAAAGGAGAAGATAGTGAAGAAGACATGACTATGTCAATGAGCCTACATGACATCCTTCCGGTTGCCACTTTGGTTGCCTTGTTAATCGAAAACGCAGCTAGAATTCAAACAACCGTCGAAGCAGTCGACGAACTAGCAAATCTCGCAGATTTCGAACAAGATTCAAAAAAGAAAACCGGAGAGAACAGCAACACTAAACAACAACCACCAATAAGTTCCTAAAATCACTTTTATTTCCACATGAAGATTTTTAACTGGAGTTTTCATGTATATATAAGCCTTTTAGATGTTTTCTCCGGCATGGTTTTAAGGCCTTGTAGAAATCAATCTTGATATTAATGGAATCCACAATGAATCTACACAATCCTTACAGTTATGCCAAAATGAGATCAAAGGGAAAATAAGATGATAACTAAAAACATTGGCCAGTCTTATGTACTTTTCCATGAACATAGTAGAACCAAAAAGCTTTCACCTTTACTTGAGGGTTTTGATGCCGAGGTTGAGACTCAAATCTTCAACAGGAACCTTGATGACGTCGCTTCTAACACCGATATCAGTCGCATACCTGCTCATACAGTACATCCCAGCAGTGACTGTAGCTACACCAACAGGATTTGGGATCAACAACGTGAGAGGCGAAGAGAGGAGTGCAGCGAGAGGAGCGCCGAGAACGGAGCTGGCTTGACCGCTTCTTCCAACACCGTTCTTGTCGAGGATGAGCAGCCCCGTCTTGCAGTAGAGAGCAAAGTCTTCGCAGTTGTTTTGGAAGACGTCGTAGTTGCCGAATCCGTTTTGGAGAAGGTGCATTGCTCTGTGGATCACTGTTTGAAGCGGGTCAGATGCAGCGGTTGTGCAGGTGCCACCGCGGAGTCTGGTGAGGAACATGGACGAGCTGACTCCGTAATCGAAACGGTAGAGAGAGCCCTTCTTGAGGAAACAGTCGAGGCAAGAGAGTACTACTCCGCTCTTTGGTTGCTTAAATCCACAGTCAGGATATGTAGGGCAAGGAGCTTCTGAAGTATCATTAAGGTTTGAAACTGAAGAAGAAGAAGCAACAGACGAAGAAGAAGAAGAAGGAGACTGCTCAGGTTTGAAATGAACGACCTTGCAACCACCGACAAATACGCCTGCAGAAGAAAACAAAAGGGTTTCTTCAGTTGAAATGTCAACAAAAGAAATCAAAAGTCAACAACTTTGGGAAGATGAAGATGTCAATTTCACCAATTACAGCTCTGAATTACAGAATCGACAAGACGGATTAAGATGCTTTTTGACAAAATCAAAGAGTCAATAGCCAAATAGAAACCAAACGACTGGGAAATTAAACCTAAACAGTCGCGAAGAGAAGACCCAAATTGAGGAACTACACAAATGCATCGAAAAGCTAATTGCTGATGAAAGCAAACGAAAAAGGAAAAGGGGGAAGAATCAAAGTACCGTGGTGAGAATAAGCGAAGACTGCTCTGTAAGTGTAGATGTGATCTCCAGGTTTAAGCTCGTCTCTCTCGACCTTGTTCGTAAGCACACCCATTGCTTCTTCTCTTCTCTCTCTCTCTCCACTTTCGTCTCAAAAAGCTTTCTTTCGTTCTCCGTCGCTTCTGGGGGAATTGCAGAGTGTAGAGGAGATTCTGACGTCAGCGGCGGAGATTGTGATTGGGCGATCAAACCGGAGCTGTTGAACTTGCCCCGTCACGGAATTTTTTGACGGCGTTAACTGTTTAGTGACGATGGTCGCTTCCAAGGGTGATATTGTAAATTTAGTATGCGTGCGCAGAGGGAGGCTTTTGTGAAGACGACGCCGTTCTTATTGGGCTTAAGGAATACGTTCTACGGCCCAATAACCGAATGGAACTTGAATCACACTCATTTATTGCCCATTTGATTTTGAATTTTTGTATGTTTGTAACCTATAATCTCATTTCCATCTACATTTAACTGGTGAGTATGCATATCAATCACAGGCTCACATTAATTAATCAAATATTTTAGTCGTCTGTTAGAAATACTATAACCGATGGAGTTTTCTGTATAATCAATAATTGCAAACTTCAAAAATAATTAAGCTGTTTGGGCTAATGAGTTTTTTAAATGATGTAGTTACTCACTCTAAATAAAATACAAAACGACCTCGCTTTTTTAAAGGACGTAGTGGAGCTAGAGCAGGCTATATAATAGTGGAAGAAACTTCAAGGAACCTCGCTTTCGTTGTAACGAACCATTATTTATTTAAAAAATCGGATATCCGAAGCATTAATATGGTTAAACTGACAAGCCACAGATATTTAGACAGCACTTGCACTGACAGATGTTTGTAGAGAAAAATAAAGTCTCATTAAGGAACTTTTAGAATCGTTTCATTGGTTAATCAAAGTCTTACATCATTGACTTTGCTTTTCTTGTAATAAAAAAGTAGCGTATACTATTGGAATATCCATTATCACGCTCTCCAAGACCGATGTGAGCCTGAGCCGTACAAGAATGGGAAAGGGAAAGTCAAACACGTAAAAACGGTTTAAAAAGAAGGGTATTATGGTCATTTTGAGATGAGAGTTATGGTAACGTTCCGTTTTCTTTATGAACAGCGAATCCGATGGGACCACACCACCACTTATACCAAACCTTCGCTTTTCTGAAAAGCAAACCACAGAAGAAGAAAGCATTATATTCAAAAATTCTAAACAAGCAATAAAAAGTCGAAAAGGGGAAAAAGAAAACGAGTCTCGCCACAAACCACGACTTGTCCAAATCAATAATTTTATTTTCTTTCCTTTTTTTGCCTTGCTACTGGTAGAACAGGAATCGAAATTGGGAATAAAAATTCTCCTCTTTTATAAAAATCTTGGGTCTTCTGCTTTGTCTCCAAGCAAACTTTTAGTCAAAATCACATTTTAGTTTTTGATGGAGTATTTGAAATTTCAATGACCATAGCTATTCCTGAAATTTAGGTAAGAGTACTCTGTTTTCAGATTCTTACATGCTCTGTCTCTCTCACTCTCACTCAGTTCTTGTGTTCTGCTTTCTGGGTTTGTATGATTTCTCGATTTTTGACAGATCTCGATAATTAAATTTGATATATCTCTGTAAAAACCGCACCTTTATTGTTGTTTAACTGAAATTTTGTTGCTTGATTTGACGGTTTCACAGAGAGAAAAAGAACCGTTTTGGAGTGATTCCAAAGTTTAAGCTTTTGAATCAAAAATGGAGGAAGAGAAGTCGTTCTCGGCGTGGTCGTGGTCCGTTGACCAATGCCTGAAAGTGTACAAGACAACACTAGACAAGGGCTTAACCAGCGAAGACGTCCAAATCCGCCGTCAAAAGCACGGTTACAACGAGCTCGCGAAGGAGAAAGGCAAACCTTTATGGCATCTCGTACTGGAGCAATTCGACGACACGCTCGTGAAGATCCTCCTCGGCGCAGCGTTTATCTCTTTCGTTTTAGCGTTTTTAGGCGAAAGCGAAGAAAACGGCTCAGGTTCAGGGTTCGAGGCCTTTGTAGAGCCGTTTGTGATAGTTTTAATCCTGATTTTGAACGCCGTCGTTGGTGTGTGGCAAGAGAGCAACGCAGAGAAAGCTCTCGAGGCTCTTAAAGAGATGCAATGCGAATCAGCAAAGGTCTTAAGAGACGGAGCTCTGTTGCCGAATTTGCCTGCGAGAGAGCTTGTTCCTGGAGACATAGTGGAGCTACACGTAGGAGATAAAGTCCCTGCGGACATGAGAGTCTCCGGTTTAAAAACATCGACTTTGAGAGTCGAGCAGAGCTCGTTAACCGGTGAAGCAATGCCGGTTCTGAAAGGAGCTAATCTAGTGGTTCCTGATGATTGCGAGTTGCAAGGCAAAGAGAATATGGTTTTCGCGGGAACAACGGTTGTTAACGGAAGCTGCGTTTGCGTCGTGACGAGCATCGGTATGGATACAGAGATCGGGAAGATCCAGAGACAGATTCACGAGGCGTCGCTTGAAGAGAGCGAGACTCCGTTGAAGAAGAAGCTTGACGAGTTTGGAAATAGATTGACTACAGCGATCTGCATCGTCTGTGTTCTTGTGTGGATGATCAACTACAAGAACTTCGTTTCTTGGGACGTTGTGGATGGTTACAAGCCTGTGAACATCAGGTTCTCGTTCGAGAAATGCACTTACTACTTCAAAATCGCGGTCGCTCTCGCCGTAGCCGCGATTCCTGAGGGCTTACCCGCTGTGATCACGACGTGTTTGGCTCTAGGGACGAGGAAAATGGCGCAGAAGAATGCTATAGTGAGGAAGCTGCCGAGTGTGGAGACACTCGGCTGCACGACCGTGATCTGTTCAGACAAAACCGGGACTTTGACAACGAACCAGATGTCTGCGACCGAGTTCTTCACTCTCGGCGGTAAAACGACGATTACTCGAGTGTTTTCGGTTGATGGTACGACTTATGATCCAAAAGACGGTGGAATTGTGGATTGGGGTTGTTACAATATGGATGCTAACTTGCAAGCTGTTGCTGAGATTTGTTCCATTTGTAATGACGCTGGAGTGTTTTACGAAGGAAAGTTGTTTAGAGCAACTGGCTTGCCTACAGAAGCAGCCTTGAAGGTTCTTGTTGAGAAGATGGGTCTCCCGGAGAACAAGAACGGTGAGATTATCCAAGAAGCTTCAAACTTTTCCGACAACAATGGCAGCTCTGTCAAGCTAGGTAAGTGATTATCCAATGACTATTTACATTGTCTGATTAGTAAAGTAGTTGTGGAACTGATTGGTCTTTTTTAGGTTGTTGTGATTGGTGGAGCAAAAGATCGAAGAAGGTAGCGACATTGGAGTTTGATCGTGTCCGTAAGTCAATGAGTGTTATCGTTTGCGAGCCGAGCGGACAAAACAGGCTTCTCGTGAAGGGAGCAGCTGAGAGCATACTTGAGAGAAGTTCACATACACAGCTTGCTGATGGATCTCTTGTGGCTTTAGATGAAGCTTGTAGAGACGTGATCCTCAAGAAACATTCTGAAATGACTTCAAAAGGGTTAAGATGTTTAGGGTTAGCTTACAAAGACGAATTAGGAGAGTTTTCGGATTACACTTCCGAAGAACATCCTTCGCACAAGAAGCTTTTAGATCCTTCTTGCTACTCAAGCATCGAAACAGACCTAATCTTTGTTGGAGTCGTTGGTCTCAGAGATCCTCCGCGTGAAGAAGTTGGAAGTGCGATTGAAGATTGCAGAGAAGCTGGAATCAGAGTGATGGTGATAACCGGAGATAATAAGTCAACGGCTGAGGCTATTTGCTGTGAGATTAGATTGTTTTCGGAGAGTGATGATCTTTCGGAGAGTAGCTTCACCGGTAGAGAGTTTATGTCTCTTCCTGCTTCACGGAGAATCGAGATTCTGTCGAAACCTGGAGGGAAAGTGTTTTCTCGAGCTGAGCCGAGGCATAAGCAAGAAATCGTTAGGATGCTTAAGGAAATGGGAGAAATCGTTGCCATGACAGGTGATGGTGTGAATGATGCTCCTGCTTTGAAACTCGCTGATATTGGAATCGCCATGGGAATCACTGGAACAGAGGTAAAAGAAAACTAACGAACTTTTAACTGTCAAAACATTCTTCAAGAATCGCAAAATCACCCCTAAACTTTTAATTCTTGCAGGTTGCGAAAGAAGCTTCAGATATGGTTCTTGCAGATGATAATTTCAGTACTATTGTCTCTGCTGTAGCTGAAGGTCGGTCCATTTACAACAACATGAAAGCTTTTATCAGGTAAAGAAAAAAAGACTCACAATAATACATTTTCTTCTTCCTATGCAATGTTACTGATCTTACGTATGTGATTGCATTTGAAGGTATATGATATCATCAAACGTTGGAGAAGTAATCTCAATCTTCTTAACCGCGGCATTGGGGATACCGGAATGTATGATTCCGGTTCAGCTTCTTTGGGTTAATCTCGTAACTGATGGTCCTCCAGCTACAGCGTTAGGGTTTAATCCAGCTGATATTGATATCATGAAGAAACCACCGCGCAAGAGCGATGATTCTCTAATCGATTCGTGGGTTCTCATTCGATATCTTGTGATTGGTTCTTACGTTGGAGTTGCCACTGTTGGCGTCTTTGTCTTGTGGTACACGCAAGCTTCTTTCCTAGGGATTAGCCTGATCACAGACGGACACACATTGGTCAGCTTCACTGAGCTTCAGAATTGGTCTGAATGTTCTTCTTGGGGATCGAATTTCACAGCGACTCCTTACACAGTCTCTGGCGGGTTAAGGACGATCTCGTTTGAGAACAATCCTTGTGATTACTTCACGTTAGGGAAAGTCAAGCCGATGACTCTGTCTCTCTCTGTTCTTGTGGCGATTGAGATGTTTAACTCGTTGAACGCTTTGTCTGAAGACAACAGTCTTTTGACGATGCCACCGTGGAGAAACCCTTGGCTGCTTGTGGCTATGAGTGTCTCCTTTGGGCTTCACTGTGTCATCCTCTATGTTCCTTTCTTGGCTAATGTGTTTGGGATTGTGCCTTTGAGTTTCAGGGAATGGTTTGTGGTTATTCTTGTTTCTTTCCCTGTGATTCTTATCGATGAAGCTCTTAAGTTCATTGGGAGATCCAGAAGAAGAAGAAGCAAGAAGAAGAAGATCAAGACAATGTAAAACTCTAATGATCAAGACAATGTTCTTTTTTTATTCTTTCTGAAAAAAAAGCAAACTTTAGATTTGATGTAATCTCTTTACAATGTTTTCATCAACAAACAATTTATTACAGATTCTCTCTAATTTCATTCAAAACCTTAACCTTTTGTGGAAAATATGCAAACTTTTTGGATTAGATATAATCTCTAATACAATATTTTGTTAAATTTAAGAAACCCAGACAAGTTTTGTTGTACCAACAAGGACTAATTCGTTACAGATTCTCTCAAACTCCATTAAAACATCAAACAAAATCCCTGATTTACCTTTTGCAATCAACATCTTGACCAAGCCTTTCAAGTGTTTACCAAATTTACCTCTCTCGACGACGTCACTGACAAAGACCTTGTTGTTGTGCCTCTTCTTTTCGTCTCCCACGAGAAACTCCATCAATCTTCTGACATCTTCTCGAGTCCGACCAAGACAATTCTTCGATTGACAAACGCTAACGAGCGCCGCAGCAAATCCAGACGCCGCTTTCTCGTGCGTCGATGGGGACGGAGACGGAGCTCTTAAGGGTTTTGCGTGCGGAAGCGGAAACGAGATTCCACCGGGGAAATTACCGGTTTTGTTGTGCGTGTATGAAGATGGAGCGGATGATGTTGGCTTTGAAAGATTGGTAGACGCAGAAGAAGCGGTTGCGTTTACGGTGGATTTGAACCGGCGGGCGATGGATCTAATCGGTGGCTGCGGCGGTGGAGGGAGAGAAGGGAGATTGAAGGATGAAACGGATGCTGAGAGAGTATCCATGGAAGACGATGAGTCGATGAAATGAAAATTTTTAGACCGTTTAGATATTATCCACCACAGTCGGAAATGAATAGTTTAAACATAATATGCATTTTGTTGGAAAAAAAAAGGAAATATTTGGGCCTCACTATTCATAGGCCCATAAATTGGTCAACAACGCCTAATTCATTACAGATTCTCTCAATCTACCTGAAGTCTGAACATGATTTGTGAAAAGGTGAAAAAGAAGTGAATCCAATACTTAACTTTCTGTTTGGGATATGCTTAGTGTCAATAAGGTCTGTTTCGTGTAGCCTAAACTTGTCTCCAACTGGAATTTTCAGCTTAAACTTGTCTACTACTGCTATTACTACTCCTACCTATTTTAAGCAATCGACATTCAACAACCAAAGATATAGTTACCACTTAAAGAACTATGTTTAATAATCGACATTCTCGTCCGAGATTCCGGCTAGGAAACTTGGCTAGGCTTGTCCAATTACGGCAAAATGTCCCTCGCCAACCACCGCAACCGCCGCCGCCGCCTCCAAAGGATGCTCAAGATATTCTGGTACAATCGCCACCACAGTCACCAGCATTTCAGCCACAACCACAGTCACCTTCACTTGAGCCGCTTCCAAATCAATTTCCATCGCCAGTGCCTTCACCATCAACACTCCCACAATCTTTTTCAAAAGCTGGTGACAATAGCCAGTCTTCGCCACGTGTACTGCTGGAGCCAAAGTCATCACCAAGGTCACCGCCACAACCGCAGACACCTTCATTTCTGCCGTCGTCTCCAATTCAATTTTCATCACCGATGCCTTTACCGTCAACACTTCCACCGTCTTTATCAGAATCTAGTGAATATCGTCGGACTCCGCCACTAGTGCCACCGGAACCGAAGCCATCACCACCGTTATCACCAACATCAAAAGAAGAGCCTCATTCACAGCCTGTGCCACCACCCATGTCGAAACCGCCTCTGTCGCCGCCCAAATCAGATGAATCTCAGGCGCCACCTCTAACATCTCCACCACTAACACCAGAAGAAAAACAGCAACCGTCCCCTCCTTCAGCTCTAAACGCTACTGAAGAAATTCAGTCCCAACCTTCTCCACCGCTTACACAGTCTAAATCCATTGATGAAACTCGGTTACACTCACCGCCTCCATCGTCATCGTCAGAATCTGGTGAATCTCAGCTGCTTTTACCACCACCAGAAGTCAAAACTCCACCGTCAACGCTAAAACCTTATGAAGAATTCCAATCCCAACAGTCTCCACCACTTCCACCGTCTAAATCCATTGATGAAACTCCGTTCCAATCACCGTCTCCGCCGAAAGCGTCGCCACAGTCATTTTCAGAATCTGGTGAATCTCAGCCGCTTTTACCACCACCAGAATCTAAAATTCCACGATCTCCGCCGTCAACTCTAAACCCTACTAAAGAATCCAATCCACAATCGCCTACACTGTCTAAATCTATTGAAGAAACACGATCATTGTATCCGTCGCAAACATCACCACCGTCATTGTCAGAATCCGGTGAATCTCAGCTGCCTTTACCTCCACCAAAAACCAAATTTCCACCATCTTCGCCTTTAACGCTAAAGGCTACGGAAGAATCACAGTCCCAATCGCCTCCACCGCTTGTGAAGTATACCTCCATTGATCAAACTCGGTTAGCATCGCCAGTGCCATTGTCAAAATCGGTTGAATCTAAACCGCTCTTACCACCAACAGAAGCTAAAACGCCGCCGTCAAAGCTAAAAGCTAGTGAAGAATCCCAGTCCCAACCGCTTCCACCGTTTAAATTTGTTGAGGAAATTCGGTCCCAATCACCTCCTCCCTCGCCGCCGACTCCGCCAACACCACCATCAAAATCAATTGACGAACCTAAATCAACACCACCATTCCCAGAATCTGGTCAACAATCCAGATCTAAGACAAACTTATCACCACCAACATCATCATCATCATCGCCGAAAGCTACGGAAATTTTCAAATCTCAATCGCCTATGACACTACCATCTCCGACGGCGCTGATATCACCATCGGCGTCTCTGATCACCGCACCGCCGCCGTCTACTCCAAAATCACCACCGTCGATTCCATCCCCACTCATATCCCAAATCATCCCCTCACCTAAACCGTCGTTACCCCAAATTAAACCTAACCCAATCGAATCTCATTCTCCGAAACCCACAAACACCGAATCTCACACTTCACAGAATCATAACAAGGAGATAAATGGTAATCCAGAAAAACAAGACCCCAAGCTCATGAAGATTCCGGCTGAAGATCCGAAGACAGAGATTACCAGGAAAGTCATCGAAAACAGGGAAATTTGGCCAGGGAAAACAAATCCGGCGCCGATGATGATGATGATGTTCGTTAACAGTAACGTCCAAGGGATCAATATGTCTCTCTCCCTCGATTCATCTTCCATCGATCATGAGCCAGGCGTCCATTTGACGGTCGATTATGATCAAAGTTGTGATTTTTCTTCGACGACACCGTTTTAATGTTGAAAATTCTGAACCGGATTACAAACTAAATAATTAAAATCTTATAAATACTGTTTTCCTTTACACAAATTTGGCGCCATACGAAAAGAAGGAACAAAGATGGGCTTCGTTTTTTGCCCATTAAAAATTGGAGTTAGCCCATTAACCTTGATTATGTGCTTTTAAAACCTTTTTCTCATAATAGTTTATTTTTTCGCTTTTCTTTGCCAAACGTTAAATCGTTTGTGAAGAACTGTGTATACATTAATTCATAGTGTTTTCGAATCTTCATTCTGGTTCATAATATAAAATAAAAAAAAAATTTGGTAGACCCGGAACATTTAAGCAAAATTAAGGAGAAAATGAATGTTTTTCACCTTTTTTGTTGGCGAATGTTTTCAAATCACATAAAATCAAGTATCATTATTCTTATAGATAAAGTTATGTTGATTGAAGAAGGTGCTATTGGCTATGCTTTGTTAGGGACCATTCGTATAAATGTAACTGTAAGCGTAGATTGAAGAAGATGCTATTGCTTTTGTGACTTGTCCTTGTTGACCATGAGACAGAAAGAGCATTTATAACTCATACATGGCCAGCTCAATGAATGTATATTATATGAATTCAAATGTAACGGTTTACAGTATATGAATTCTCTTGGCACATAAATAATTTAAACAAAAACAAAATTAGACTTCAAAATATATGGAAATTGTTCTATTCTGCTTGGATCCTCTAGTTAATTAGCACTCATGTCTGTATTTTAAAAATTTTCAGCAACTTTATATTTTTAATACACTAACAAGTAACAACAACAACAACAAAAAAAAAGAAAAAAAAAAGCGTTGATTCTTATACAACTATATCAAAAGAACCAAGTACTTCTTGTATATTTTGTTCTTCTATAAATACACAGCTGTTGGTCAAACTAGTAGAGTGAATATGTTAAACGAAAACTCAAATCAGAATACAGATTCCCATGGAGTACATAGTTCAATTTGAAGTAAACGAAAATTCTAACATTTTCATTTGAATTAAGAAGCTGGAATTAAACATACAAGTGCTGGAATTTGAATTTGAATTAAGAAGCTGGAATTAAACATACATTCAAAATCCTCCCAGCCTCATTTTTGATTCGGTATAAATAAGGGGAGAATTGGCAATTTACCCCAAATTGAAACTTCTTTTGTCCCACTACACCTTCCCGTTTCCTCTTTGTCCCAATACCTTTTTTTTTGACATTTTTCTCAGTTTTGCCCTTCATTTTAGTTTTGTTTCCATTTTCGTTTTTTAAATTAAAATATATTAAATAAAAATAAAATTAACAAAACTAAACTAATTAAAAAATAAACCGAAAAAAAACAAAACTTATTCTCTCCTTCTCTCCTTCTCTCGCGACGGCGCCGGAGGCGATCGATAACCTAATCTCAATCGATTTCGTCATGATGAGAGGAAGGAAGAACGTGATGTTTTGGATAGTTGGAGGAAAAAAAGGAAAGAAAGATTTGAAAAATATTCAGTTGCAATATTTTCTCGATCTTCGCAGAAGATGAATTCTACAAAACCGTAGACGACACTAGTTTTGCTAGATTGTGTACTAGAAACACGAGTACTACGGATCGTAGAAAACATGGTTTTAGTAGAACACTACTTCTGCGGGATGTAGAGTAGACAAAAACACGTAGAATACGAAAACTATTTCTTGTAGATAGCAGTGTTTCGCGTAGAACGTAAAATCTACGAGTAGTAGAAGATACTTGATTGAGTAGAATACATTTGGTGCGAATTCTACAAAATGGTAGAGCCTATAAGAGTAGGTAGATATCAACTTCTACATCCGGAAGAGGTATGAATAAGTTGTAGATATTATGTTCTACGGAGGTTAGACCTCTGAATATCTTGCAGAAAACGAATTCTACTTTGTTATTTTAGTTTTGTAGAATGAAACTTGAAATATTTTTTTAAATATCATAAGCATTTTCAAAAATGTTCAAAAATTTTACACAGTGCTAAAATGATTTTTAGGAATTATGGCATTTTTTTTCACTCCAAAATACATTTAGTATGAGTTTATAAATAAATTGAAGGGCAAACTTGACCAAAAAAGACCAAAGTCAAAAAAGGTGTAGTGGGACAAAAAAGTTTCAATTTGGGGTAAATTGCCAATTCTCCCATAAATAAGAGAGGTTTCCTGCTTGTAGAAAATTTGCTGATGAAATGTATTACAAAAGTTGGCTTCTTATAGGTAAATACAGTATATCAGAATCTAATTGAATTTACTTGTACTAGTCTTTTTTTGTTAAATACTTGCACTACAATTGCAACGGTACAAAACTACAAATACTTAATTTAGCCTCCTGAAAAAACGATACAACAAAAAATTAAAGTAGCTGGATGGCATAAGCTGATGAGCATAGAGACAAACATGCCTCAAAACTTGACAGCATCCTTTATTGTATTTATTACTTCCCTAATTACAATGTCACTCAGATTGAAGTCGTCGCCAGACTATGACTATCTGCATGCTTACACATCTATATTTATTTCAGAATACTTTTACAGTTTTACTACTACTCAGAGTAGTTATTATTAGTAGTAATATTGATTTCTTCAAAAACAAAATACTTTGAAATATTGGACTACTAAATTTAAATTAAACCATTGGGAACATGAACATCTATGGTTGGCGTGAAGTCCCAAGTGAAAAATACCCCATGCCATAAAGAAACAAGAGTACATGTCTTCGCGTTGAACGTCTCTTTTCCACTAATACTTTCAATTAGCTTCGACCTGATTCTACAAATTATCACATATTTGGTGCGCATAGATTCATGATCTGTACTTACTATAATTATGGTCTATACATAGTTTTGGTGCGGCTGGTGTATATCTATTTTTAAAAATGCATGTGTATATTTGATAGTTTAATACTCCAAACCGGAAGAATTGAATTTGAGTAACCACAACAGTATATTATACATGTCTTAGTTTAGTAAAAGTTTATTATCAGAAATCTTTGTTTGTCATACTTGCAAAAGCATTTTATTAAAATAGCATTTAGAATGCAAATCAAATAGTATATTGTATATGTTTGAATCGTGCATAACTGATAAAGTGGGAACTTGGCAGTGTACCTAAGAAGTAAAACAAAAATAAATGTGTGTTTCGACCAACACAACTGGTCATCCTCATCCTCAATTTATCCAACTACTACTCTGACGACTTTCTCTTGTCGTCTTTAATTCTCTCAATTACTTATATATTATTTTCAACCAATAATATATTTTTATTTTTCTGAAGATACTCCTAATTGGTTCAATGAAGAACGGTTTTGGTACGATGGAGATCTATGTGCATATATATCATTACCAATAATTAGCTAATAACAACAAAGTGAATGATTAAGATTATATACCTAAAAGTCTAAAACGTTTGAAACATAACCATCAATATTAGGCATATGTGTATCTGAAATTAAGTTGACTACAGTAATTTACCAAAAGAACTAGCTAGATTATGAAAAAAAGAACTTAGTGAATTAAATAGTTAAATAAAAGACTACTAATAATGTATAGATGTATTGCGAACTTCTGAAGATATAGATTTCGAAAAAAATACTGTATATGACTGTTGGATTTTTCTTTCTTCCCATCATATGCTAGATTTCCAACAAAACCATCTCACGAACTAATTAATTACGTAGATATTTAAAAACAAATAAATTAATACATTTTGTTTTATAAAGGCAAGCTAGCTAGGGTTTTGGAATGACGCTATGTTTCAGTCTTATTTAAAGCCCATCTCATCCTCATCATTCTCCCATCATAACACCATCATTCATCACCATCTCTTAAGAGCTTTCTCTCTCTAGTATCCTCTATCACTATCTCTCTCTCTCTATACAAATATAACTTCTCTAAGAATATGAATGATTGTTACTGTGATTATGATGAAGAGGCTATTTCCGTTGAGGGGAATGTTGTTTGGATCGAGGATATCATATCATAATTGTGATAAGATAGTTGTATGTTATCCATTGAACCCTCGGACCAGGCTTCATCCCTCTCAACATGTTATTGCCGGAAAAACTACAAAGCTAACGTTATATTATTTTCGTTTTGTCTATGCGTAGGAACCATACTGTCTCTAGCTCTCTTTTTCTTTTACAAAACTAAATTTAGCTTACTATGCAGATTGATACAATGCTAATAATCATTCTTCTTTCATTGTTTGTATGTAAGTGTCTTACACAGTTACACTGTATCCGTCTATTGCTTACCTTTTTCTTGTTTGTCGAAATACAAACCCTTCTTATTTAAGATAAAATAAAAAATATATATACTTTACAAGTCCAACTACAAAATATAATATATATTTTACAATTTCACGTGATTAGATAATCGCATATGCGTTTACAATACTATTTTGCCAGTTTACATCTATCTAGGCTATACGTACACGCTTTCTGTACGGGTGAACGACCGAATTTCGTAATTGAGAAAATAGTTTTCGACCAACTTTAGATGTAGAAGTTCGTAATAATGGATATATTGGCTTAGGTGAGAAGACAATTGGTTCACTGAGTTATATGTTGGTTTAAAGAAAATTCACATGTTATTTCATATACGCGAATATTTTTTTTTTTTACATTTTAAATAAACATTAAATTCAATATGTGCAAATAAAAAAGTATTTTCACTTTTTTCATCAGTAACCAAACATTACTTTATACTTTATGTTACACAGTGTTTTATATATAGAAAAAAAATTACATCCCAATTCAACATGCGGTTTACAAGAATTACACACACAATACGGTAAAAACAAAAAACAAAAAGTTGTAAGATTTCATGTCTTTAAATCTAACCTATTTATTCTACATATATATATATATATATATATATATATTGTGATCATCAGAACACATCCAAATATGTGAAATGTTAAGTCTTGGCTCGCCAAGTGAGTGTTGATATCTAGTCTATGTATGAACTTTGAAGGGTACCAAGACACTCTTTTCGCTCGTATCAACAGTTTTACCGGGAGTGCTATATCACGGGTATTGTGGATTTTATATGTGATAACGCCACATTTGTGTTCCAATACTGTGAAATCCAGGTGTGGGCGAATTTAATTTATGTAACTAGTTCCTCTTTTAAACTCCTCTAAAAAACGAAACAATTGATGTAACACAGATTTTGATTGAATACAATTTTACACTCATTAAAAAAAAAGTATATAATGATAACCTATTTTTGTTTATACAACTCTATCAATATGTTATAATTGTTCTAAAAGTTGTAATAATAAACCAGCAATTCAGTATAAAAATGAACAAATGTAAGAAAAAAAAAGACAAAATTCAGCAAAAATAAAGTAATTTGTCAGCAAAACATAAGCAAAATTTTATTAAAAAAAAATATCAATTTAAATTTGAGACTATAATATCAAATGAATGATTCTCAATTCCTAATCAATGAATCTCATTATTTACCCACAAAGCAAGATCATTGACATAGTTGTTCGAACCGTAGGATAGTACCATATCTTATTTGTGTATGGAACCGCTTACAGAGACAGATTCTGAAGATGAAAACACATGTTTGGTCGAATTATTCTCTTTTGTCGTTGATAATACAATTTGAATATTTTCAGACTTTTTTTCCTCTATATGTAAATACAGAAACTTCCATAAGGGTTTTGCAATGCATGTTAGTTTGTAATACACAAATAGTTTCGCTATTTCCCACAAGAGATCTTTTGAACTACGCGAGTTTCGCATCCTAAACCGTATCTTCTCCACCTCATAGCGTACCTTAACCTCAGAAATTCCTCCTCTTGCGATGATGTTGATGGTGACAATTGTGTGACCTGCGTTTCCTTAAAAGATCTTGAGAAACTATGCATTGGGAAAAATAGTAAAAGAGATTGAAAAGTCTTTCGTCTGTTTTGCTTTGTCAAAGTGATTGAAAATAAATTCTGTTGCTCATCGACTAACGTAAATGTCATAATTTTAGGTTTTGGTAAACAAGTATGATATGATATGATTTAGTGTATGGAATCGCTGGGTTCAAACATTTACAAAAAGTCAAATGCGTCAATTGATATCTCTTTGCATTTTCGAATATCTACAAAGTCATATGTGATTGTGAGTAAGCCCAAACGAGCTTCTTATGTTAAATTATTTGGGCTTTCATTTTACGGCCCATTTTTACTTCGTTGGACAAGTGAATAATAAAGCACTACTTTTAGCAAAATATTTAATTTCAAGTGGGAATTTACCTTTATAATTAAAAAATCATAATAATATTCTCCGTTAGATTTTTTTTGATAAGGATATTCTCCGTTAGATATTCCAACAATCTATGAGTTTTGTACTTTGTACAATGCTACGTACTTCCAAGTTCCATGCGACAATTAAAAAAAGTCTCTTTACCATCTTTATATTTTTTAAAAGGCAATATTGCAAATAACACCGCCAATTTCATTGGAATTTTAACTTTTCCTTTAAGTGTTATCATATTATTGGGTCCATTTGAGATTTATTAATACTTATATACCAACAAAAAAACAAAGTCGTGTGAAATATATACTTTGTGGTAAACGCAACATGTGGAAGATTCCAAATATGAAAATCAAACGCTAGCTTTTGACTTTTTTTATTATCAATAAGAAACTTTATTAAATCGAAATGAAAATAGAAAAGATGACCACATTTCGCCGGTTTAACCGAATCTAATTTTCCCTACCACTAAAGTCTAAACCACCACTTTATTTATTTTTGTTCCTTGTCTAATGCGTCAATTGATATCTCTTTGGAATATAATTAAATTATAAATTATTATTTTTGATTTTTCATCACAGGAACAGAAATTTACTTAATAAAGAAAATGTCATTTCGCTAAAAAAACAAACTATTCAACCACTCGACTACCAATTGTTTGCGATACTAAGATCGTAACATTTTAAAGGACATCGAAAAATTATATTCAAATGTGACCTTTTAACATTTTTCCCTACTTTGTTTCTTGGTATCATTAGATAAATATTCACGTATACAATCGGAGTAGATGTGCATATAGTAGTACTGTATGTACTTACAAGACGATTACGAAGTGGCATAATCTCCGTTAATCCAGGGTTTAGCTGGATTCTCTTTCAAGTTTTGATGATGACAAAAAGATAAAAGAAAGAAAATATGAAGTACCAATTAAGTAATAACATACATATACGATTAGATTCAAGGTTTTTTTTTGTAGTGCTTACTTTTCAAGTTCGATATACATATATTGATATATATATTCTTTCAATTATATCATTAGGACTCAAATTCGGTACAAAAGTAAATTATGCGCTCCAACTTTGCTATATATACAAGAAACATCAACTTCAATTTTAAAACAATCTTCTCCAAAACAAATGAAAAACATACAACCTTTTCTTCACCGTCCATCTCTTACAACCTTCCAAGAACACCGGCCATTTTCCTTTACTTTCTAGGGAAAACAAAAATCCATTCTCCGGGGAACACAAATCAGCATGGGAGAGACAGAAACCATGGAGACAAACTAAACCATTTTAGTTATTATATTTACTGTCTTTACTAAATTCTCATCGAATGGGTAACGGAGAAAAACTCATGAGCCACTGGAGCTTCCATATCCCACGTCTCCATCATCATCATCATCATCATCATCAACAACATCAACAACATCATCATGAGGATGATCATGAAAAGGTACCAAAAGGGTGTTTGGCAGTGAAGGTAGGACACGGAGAAGAGCAAGAGAGATTTGTGATTCCCGTTTTGTATTTTAATCATCCTTTGTTCGGACAACTCTTGAAAGAAGCTGAAGATGAGTTTGGATTCGCTCAAAAAGGGACTATCACGATCCCTTGTCACGTCGAAGAGTTTAGGTACGTTCGAGGGTTGATCGATCGAGAAAACTCTAAATCTTTCGGTAGTTTTAATACTATTGATCATCATCACCACAATCACCATCATAATCACAACCATCTCATCCGGTGTTTTAAGGTTTGATGATTTTTTTTTTTTTCTGTGATGAAAAGAACCATCTCATCGTGACCTATATAATCTTCTCATACCAATCAGACCATGTTAAATTGGTCTCTTCCCACGTCGTCGGTGCTCGAACTCATGACATTAAAAACTATACCCTTTGGCTGGCCAGATAGTATATCTAAGGACGCCATATGGTTTGATGATTTTATATTTTGTTGATTGTAAATATATATCAGCTTTGATTCCAGCTTATCTTATTATGTGGCTTGTTGTTGTTGTTGTTCAAGTTTATCTATCACGATGATAATTTGTAAACATGGCATGATCATAAAAATCATCCTTTTCTGATGATGTTAATCTAATATATATTGGTTACTTTTACTCGACACCCCTTCTTCTAATTAACTTGTCAATTTGAATTTTACATAGCTTTTGAAAACGCTGAAATTTTGGGTTGCAGAGATATTAGATGAACTTTCATAAAACTCCTGCAAGATCTAGAGTATATGGTTCTTTGCCACAGGATTTGGTGGAAATTTTGCAAAGAAAATGCATGGCAAGAATTAAAAGAGAAGACCTTCCCAGCCTTTTGAGCAGTGAAAGATTGGCTTATGCCATTCAAGAAGCTGATGGATCTGAGTGTTATACACTGGTTGAATCCGAAAACCTCACTTATTTTTTCTGGCCACCGAAACATCACTTAACAACAGAAAAGTTAGAGGAAGAAAACAGAGATGGGTTGAAGAGAGTAACGGTACAATCCGAAACCAATTACAACATAAGGTCTGTAGTTTATATATGGTTTGCGACTTGATCAGCTCGGCCAGACTACTTCATGGTCTCGATAAAGACTTAAGAGCTTTGTCTCCATGTTATCTACTAAGAAATATGGATCAAATCAAGTATGTGATAATGCTCAAATGGTGAGATGCTAGGAAACCTGGGGTATATTGCTGTTAGTCTCTGGATTCTTCTTATGGTAGAAACAATATCTCTTGAACAAGATATGTACAATTAGATGATCGGAAAGACTTCTTCGGTTAATTCAACCATTGCGAATTACCTATAATGATATAAATAAGAAAAAAACTTCAATCACACTTAAAACAACATGATATTATATTCTAATGTGTACCTTAAAATATACATTGATCTTTTCTTCTTGATTTTATTTTAGGTATGCATATTTGAATTCTTTTATTCCCACTATAGTTTTAAGTTTTTTTTCGTACGATTCTACAAACAAAAAGAAAAGAAAAGGCATTATAATGAGGGACTAACGAATTTTGAATGTTGAAAGAAATGGACGAGAGTCTTTGACCCTTTGTATGGCCAGAATAGCAAATACTTTTTCTCATCGTGGTTTAGAATTTAGAATCATCATGCATGCTTTAGAATCACCAAAATTGAGAAAAAAAATGTTTATAAATGACGGGGGTCTATCTTGGGCTTTCGAACACATACTTCTAAAAACATATTTCAGGTCTATAAACATAGCAGTATTATTAAGAAATTGACGGAATAGAACAAGCAGCTCTCGTAGCTCAGTTGGTTAGAGCACCCGTTTAGTAAGCGGGAGGTCTTGAGTTCAAATCTCAACGAGAGCATGCCTTCTTCAAATTTTACATTTTTTACCCACACAACAGCAGAAAATTACGATCGATGCTTCAAACTTGTAATTGCTAATTTGCTACACTCCATATGTATGTATCTATCTAATTCGACATATTCATGAGTGCTAGTGCAGTATAATAAAAGACATAACTTAGATTATGTTAAGTTTATGTGGTTTTCATAAAGTGAAGACGACATCAAACATTTAGTCGTTTTCATAATCATTGAATGTAAATCCAAAATTATACTCTCTTTCATTCGAGTTGGACCAGTACTATTTTTATTTTCTTCTCATAAACGCCAAAGAAGCAGAACAATTATTAGTTTCCACGTGACTAACAAACTACTATGAAAATAGTTATCATAACTCATAAGTTTAAATTTAAAACAAAATACTCAAATCAGAATGATTGCTACTGCTGACTACATTTTCTTAATTTGCTCGTCAGAAATAACAAGTTTCTCTATATATATATAATATATTTCAAGTCTTTCTTCTCTATACGTTGGAATCTTCTTCACTCATTGGTCAGAAAAACAATGGATAATCTCACTTTCTCTCCCTCTTTGTCTTCTTCTATGCTCTCTTTAACGCAACAAACGCCGGCCATGTTGTCCTCTTCTCCGGCCGATCAACTTCAGCAGAAACTCCGGTTTGTGGTGGAAACCTCGCCGGACCTTTGGACTTACGTCATATTCTGGCAAAAGGTGACTGATGATCATTCGGACCGGTCTTACTTGGTTTGGGTTGATGGCCATTTCGGTGGAAACAAGAACAACAAATCCCAACAAAATGTTCGTTTATCTTTGCCTCTTATATCTTTTAACTAAAACTATCCAAAACTTCTTGCATATGATATGCTTTTTAAATTACATTAGGAAAATAATACTTCCTTGACTCATTTTTCCATTGGTTTATTAAGAATACACATAACATCATCGAGTGTGAGCTGACGATGGACGGTGGAGATTTGGAGTGGTTCTACGCAACATCGTTTAACGGCGGAGATGCATCCCCGAGTAAGGAATGTCCCGACGAATCTTTGGTCTGGCTAACCGGCCCGGACGAGCTCCGGTTTAGCAACTGCGAGAGGGCTAAAGAAGCCAGTTTTCACGGGGTCCACACGTTCGTATCCATACCCATACGCAATGGCACTATCGAACTTGGCTCGTCTAACAAGATTAAGCAAAACCGGAACTTGATCAACCAGGTCCAATCGATATTCGGTTCGAGTAAACACACTAACCAAACCGGTTTTAATCCTAAACCGGTGGGATCGGATCATTCAGAAGTCAGAAATCAACAATCGGACCCGGGAAGAAAACGGAGGAGGAAAACCGAGACGACGACAGAGGCGGTTACTGCGGAGATCAAACATGATCTTCCGACGGGTTTGAAGCACGTGGAGGCGGAGAGGCAGCGGAGAGAGAAGCTAAACCACCGGTTTTACGCTCTACGTGCCGTCGTACCAAACGTGTCACGTATGGACAAAGCGTCGCTCTTATCCGACGCCGTTTCGTACATCCAAAACCTCAAATCCAAAATCGACGATCTCGAAACGCAGATCAAGAGACTGAAGACGGATAGGTTACTAGACAACAACAGCAGCAATACGTCTCCGTCTTCCGTTGACCAAGTGACGAATAAGCCTTTGGAGTCAAATAGAGTCTCCGACTTCGCAGTGCAAGTGATGATGACCGGAGACGAAGCCATGGTTAGCGTTGAGACGGAGAATGTGAACCATCCAACGTCGGCGTTGATGAATGCGTTGATGGAAATGGATTGCCGTGTTAAACACGCGAGCGCGTGGCGTGTGAGTCAGATTATGGTACAAGATGTCGTTGTTTGGGTTCCAGACGGATTAAGATCGGACAATATGCTTAGAACCACACTTGTTCAAAAGCTAATTTCAGTTTAACTAGTCGATTACGTAATGAATTGAAATAGTATTGCGTTTTTTTTTAATCAATGGAAGACTTTTGGAACCATACAGTATCTTTGAAACATAATGCATTGTTTTTTTTTTTTTTTTACATAATGCATTGTTCATGCTAAAGTAGGCATGTTGTAGAAAGACCAATATTGTCATTTTCGTTAATTTGTCGTTTTGGTTATTTTATTGGCATGATAGATACTACTAGTATTATTGTTACAAAGAATCAGCACGTGTCTAAATATATGTTAGTCTATGATATTGATGACAACTGTGAGTCTGTGACTATCACATGCGCTTCAATCCGGGTACGATATGATGAGGTTCGCAGTAAAAAGTTCAGCAGCTGATTATTATTTTGCTGGAATCTAAAAAAGCCAGTAGCATTTTCTGGCTTCTTTTAGCTATAGTTTTGAAAAGTTAAAATTTTGGTCCCATTCTTTTTTATCAAAAAGTATAGTATGATCTTTGCTAATTATAAGGTCGATCAAACTAATTATTTGTGCTAAAATAAGCACGGACACGGACAGAGGTGATCAATATTTTATGGTTGAATGTATCGATGGCATATGTAGTCGATCATTTAAGCAACTCTTTGTTTGACGTTTCTGGTTAGTTACAAAAACAAAGATGGTCCGGAGAAATAAATCTTTCTGTAATATGGATATTCATTCGATGTATGCATTTGTATACATTCGAATCTTTTTGTGAGCGTATTTAATTGTTTTTATAAAAGAGTGAGCAGTGTGGGGTAAAAAAAAGTTGTTGGGAAACACTATTAGAGTAGAGGTTGATCATTGATGAGAGTTTGTGATGGGAAGGATTTGATACACTAGTCAAAAACATAACAATATGACCTCATTTCTGTGAAAGCTACTTTATTTTGTTGATAAAGCCTTGCGAAAGCTACTTAACACCAGTAATCAGGTCCAATTACGTAACTAATATTGCTCCACAATAATTATTATTGGACCGACATTAATAAATCATTGCCTTTCATATGTACAACTGTTTACGAGTACAAATGTACAATGCAAAGAGAAAACCTAAAAGGTACAATAATGCAAAGAGAAGAAGGAAAATGGTACAAATGACAAATCTACCATAATGCAACAGTGGCAACTGAATTGCCTTGTATCTTTTTATAATGGGCCGAATAGTAATATAAGCCCAATTATGAAGATAAGGCCCATAATCTCATTTGGGTCATTTCAAGTGTACGAGAGATACGTAAATCGCTATTCCTTTCTATTCTTCCCTAAAACACACTTGGAACGATTTCTTCTCCAATCTCCTGCGCCTCTCCGTGTTCTCGCTTCATCATCGTCTGTGAAATCAATCGAGGTAAACCACTCTTCTCGAATCGATGCTTCTTCTGTGATTAATCGATTCTCTCAGATCTATCATACGAATTTGCTGTTGTTATTCGTCGGGAGTGGTTTGTTAGAAATCGAAAATTGAACAATAGATCTATCTCTACGCCGATGTTTGAGTGGATCGTTATTAAATCCTCCTCTGAAAATTCTGGAGCAGTCAGATATGTATGATTTTTAGTGCGAATGAGAGAAAATGATTTATCTCGAAAATTAGTAGCTCGTCTCGTATTGACTGTATCTGGAAAATTGCAATGAATTTCAGCTGTTTTTGGTTGCTTAATAATTGATCTGTGTCATATGTGAGGTCTCTTATTAGATGAAATGATTATTTTCGCAGCTCAATTTTGTGATGTTTTATGAGATTGATTTTGGCTAGATTATGACTGAGAAGACATCATTTCAATCCCATTACCACTGTAGCTATTAATGAATCTGGATACATGTGGTTTATCTCTTGTTTCCCTTAACGAATCAACGCATATCTGATCAAATGTTTCTCTGAAATCTTGGTGATATACTCTCATTTACAAGCTTATTGATCTGGTGTTTTGCTATTTTAGATATTTGCTTCTCCTCTTTTCTCCTCTCATTTTATTCTCTTCGTTGCTAGAAAAAAGCAAATTGTGGATTGATTATGTTTGATATAATGTTTTGCATCATGACTTTAGGGTTAAAGGATGTCAAGAGCCAAATACATAGTCGGTGCCCTTGTGGGATCTGCTGTAGTAGCCTACGTCTGTGACAAAGTTATCTCTGATGATAAGCTTTTCGGAGGCAAGTCTTGTTCGAAACAATAATTTGATACCTTTTAGCTACTAATATCATACAGTATATAGCTGCTAAATAAATGGGTTTGTTTGTTGTTTGAAACCACAGGCACAACACCAGGAACTATTACAAACAAGGCATGGGGAGCTGCGACTGAAGAGAGACTCCAAGCATGGCCAAGAACCGCTGGTCCTCCAGTCGTGATGAACCCTATCAGTCGCCAGAACTTCATCGTCAAGTCACGCCCTGAATAAGTGTATCAGAGAAGACTGTTTCTGCTTCTTTGCCTTTCCATATACTCGTTATGGATGGATTGATTCTTTACGGTATTTGCTGTTTTGTTGGCCGTTTCTTTTGATTTGGGGTATCGGCTATTTTCTCTAGCTGGTTTGTAGTGATAATAATTTGTGGGGCTGGAGATAACACATTATTCAGTCCAAGCTTCTCAAAGATGCATTGCTTGTAAGTTTGTTGAGATTTTGACGATAAATGAAATCGAGCCAACTAAGACTTGACAGCTAAATTTTCATGTTTTACTTACATGTAGTGAAGTGGTAGGTTTGCGGTTTTGGATTGATGAAATGTTTTGAGATTTCTTTGGTTTAGAAACTACAGAATTAGAAGCGAAGTACTGTACATCCGATTCGGTTTTGGTTCTGGTCCTTGTGTCTGAATAGGTAAACCGTAATTACTAGGAATTCACTTAACCAAAATTTTGAATTGGGTTGATGAAAGAAAAACTCGGACTCGACAAAAATGTCCAGTATCAATTTGCACACAAACCGGGAGATAACAAACAATTGAGCGTTATTCTAAACCGGTTCGTACCCCAAATCGAACCGGTGCCACTAATACCATACAACAACATTAACAGCAATACATGTGAATATGAACCATTCCACATCCATCTAGGAACTGAAAACTCTCCAACTGTCTCAAAACTCTAAATAATGGAGACTAAGTGATAACTTTCCTATCATTCTGAAAGAAAATCAAATCCTGAAAAAAAAAAAGAGATAGCAGAACCTAATTAATATCAACAAAACCATAATTCTTTTTTTCTTCTTCCTCCTTTTCATTTTCCTTCATTTTTTCCATCACCACCGCCATGTCTAGCCGCTGAGCCACCTTGCCCATCAGCTCCACTCTGGCTCACATTGGTCCCGTCCTGTTTACCTCCACCTCGAGCATCATTCGCACCCGCTGTTGGTAGCCAAGAAATTTGAAAATAAGATCAAAACTGCTCCAAGAACCATGACCGGAAAGGTTAATCTAAGAGAGGTTTAACTACCATTTGCGCCAAGTGGAGTTTCCTGGTGGTGCATTGGATGCTGAAGTCCATTGTTATTATTCAAAGCCATTGGTCTAATCCCCATGTGACCTTGCATAGCTTGTTGATGTAAGTGTTGTTGCTGCGGATCTTGAAACTGATGCAGATTACCAAATTGCAATGGACCTCTCGGAGGGAAAATCCCGGGAGATACTTGTTGAGCCATTCCCATAGCTTGTGGATGCTGCTGCTGCATGAAGTAGCTAGGCGGTGGCTGCATTGATGACGCATGAGAAGCCATCTACACAAATCAGACACAATCGTTAATGAACCAGAATATGTTTTTTTTTCTTTTTTTTTTGCTTTCTACTAATAAAAAAAGCACTTACTGGTTGGGGAGTGATGGCTCCTGGTGTTGGTGCAGCTGCTGCTGCTGGCGGCGGTTGAGCATCAGCGATTGCAGCGAGATACATTAAATTCTTTTGGAGAAGAGCTTGGTACCTGAGAGATACAAGCAAGAATCAAGCATCAGAGAGCTAAACACATGTAGGAATTGTATCGGAACAATGTAAATGTTACTACACACTTACTGAGCACATTCTTGAAGTTTACCGAGGTTTTGATTTTCCAAGATCGCCATTATCAGCTTCTTGTTCTCATCAAGATACTGCAAGAAGCAAATAACAAGAGATCAATAAAGAAAATGAAAATAAAGCTTGATTAAGAAATACTTTAGTAACTTACTGTCAAAGTCTACTTAATCTTTACAGTGAGATCCTAAGCTTTAAAGACACACAAAGCACTTAATCTAGTGAACATAAAAGAACACTTCAATTCAGTAACCAGGGAAAAACAAAAAAAATCACAAACGACAGTTTTTCCAATTACAGTAAATAGACCAATTTAAAGACAATTCCCTACTTTACCAATTATCATAAAGCTATCTACATAAATAGCTCAATTATAAAACTTCATTAAAAGAGTTTAAATTACTCAGAAACATCATTACTGCCTTTAGAAGTAAGAACAGAGCCATTTCAACAAATCTTACCAAACATGTGACTGAAAAAACAAAAGACAAAAGCTAGAAAGTAAGGTAAAAGCACCTTTTGGATCTGTTCGGTAGTGATGTTAGTCGGGGGAAATGAAGGAACCATCGGAATCATCTGTGGAGATTGCTGCATCTTTTTTTAATTCAATCAACTTAAACAGTGAAACCCTAAAGTCTCGTCTCCCTCAGAAACAAAAGAAAATTCAAAGTGATAAAACTGTTGGAGGCCAATGCAAAGACAAACGAAATGCGCAATATTCAACGAATATTTTGGATTATCCTGAAATTTAAGACACTGATTTCGTTTGAATTTCGCCGACGAGAGGTTTCTCCGTAGTTTTAAGACAAAAAAGTCCCCCAAAAAATTAATTTGTCTCCCCACCGAATAGAACACGTGGCATTTGTCTGAATTTCCGTCTACGCTACGATTAAGACAACTAAAAACAAAAACAAAACATTTGGGCCTTTAATGGGCTATTAAAAACGAATTACAAATAAGGGAAGCCTCTGAGTCAACAAGAAGGTTTACTTTAAATCTAATACCGACATTAGCTAGCTAGCTCCACGACGGCGATAGAATCAACCGTCGTCCTCCGAACGAAGCAAACTCCGATCCTTGAATAATCATCTCACCGTGGCTTCGGATATTTTCCGGCGGTTGTTTCCAGCTCGGACCCGAAGAGCTGCCCCAATTATCCCTTTGACACGGCTGGAGATGAACCTTTTCCGGTTCTGCTCCGGTCTGAAAGTCCTCGGCTATTTTATGATCCTTCTCGTATTTGCCGTCGTGGGCGTATCTTACTACGCTGTCGTCGTTAGCACATGGTGGCCGATTTTAATAGAAGGCGGCCACGGAGCTCTCTCAGTCCTCGCCGCCTTAATCATCTTCGTTTTCCATTTCCTGGTAAGCTCAAGTCTTATCGTTTCAGATTTAGTTTGATGGATTAGGTTTTGCTCCAATTTCGTTTCTGGAAGTGAAATTCCCTCAAAATCTTAGGTTTCTATTGCTCGACAACTGCATTAATGGCTGTTTAGTTTAAAAAGCTCCAATTTTGGTGGTTAATTTATCATTTTGGTTCTTCTAAAATTTTCTCAATTTTCCTCTGAGTTTAGATTTGGAAATGCAATTCTGATGAAACAGTGCTTGATTGGTCCATTGCAGCTGATAATGCTGCTGTGGAGCTACTTCATTACAGTGTTTACGGATCCAGGCTCAGTTCCTGAGCAATTCAGAAGAGAGCTTGGGGATGAGAATTTGGAGGCTGGTACTTCGACGGAACGAGGAGCTTTTGGCTCTTTAGGTTACTGTCCTAGATGCCGGAATGTTAAGCCGCCTCGTTGCCACCATTGCTCTGTGTGTAAGTGAAATCTGACATGTTCTGCTTACTAGTGAAAATGTTTCTAGTGATAGAGAAAGAAAGCTTTACTCGATGCATGTTGTCTTATGAAGGTCAAAGATGTGTTCTGAAGATGGATCATCATTGTGTTTGGATTGTAAACTGTGTTGGAGCGCGTAATTACAAGTTTTTCCTTCTCTTTCTGGTAATAACTTCTCTCCATTGTTATGGTTCTTGAATTAGTATTACTCTCGGAGTCTCGGTTTTGCTGATTTCTGCTTTACTGTCTTTGGATTTGTAGTTGTATACTTTTCTTGAGACAATGTTGGACGTGATAGTGTTGCTTCCTAGTTTCATAAAATTCTTCAGCGAAGCTATGAAGCATTCTGCTTCTCCGGGTAACCTGGCCTCCCTCGTTCTGGCATTTGGTGAGTGTAAAACGGTTCTTTTTTACTCGCTTTCTTTGTCCCGAGAAAGCTGTCTCATTTTCACTGTTTATGTTTCTTACAGATTCTATCACTTGATGCAGTTCTTAACGTAGCATTCGTTCTCAGCCTTCTCTGTTTCGTAGTCATGCATATCTCTCTTCTCTCAACCAACACTACTTCAGTCGAGGTAACTCCATAATGTTGGCTTCGAGCTTTAACATACAATTCTCTTCAATAAGTTATCATCATTCGTGTTTTTTTCAGGTTCATGAGAAAACTGGAGAAGGCAGATGGAAATATGACTTAGGAAAGAAGAAAAACTTCGAGCAGGTGTGAGACTTTTAAGTTGTTTTCATCTTTCCATTGATCTTTTGTTTGTTAAAATCGATTTTTTTTTTTAACCTTTTTGTTTGTGCTGTTTTTGTGGTGAAGGTTTTTGGGAAGAAGAAAGCGTTTTGGCTCCTCCCATTGTACTCGAAAGAAGATCTCGATAACATGACTTCACTTCAAGGCCTTGAATTTCCAACTCGTTCTGACATCGACCCTTGATTTAAACACAATCCGATCAGACATCGTTTGGAAGTTTTTCTTCCAATGTAGATAACTCTCTTCTCAAAATGTATTCTGACAACACATTGTATTGTGTCGTTGTGATAATGAAACTGATTTATTCATTTGTATTTATCTTTTTCTTTGAAATTCTGCCCCAAAAAGTTATTTTTAAATACGTTTACCGTCCAGATTCTTTCTGTTTGAGTCTTGAGTTTTTTCTTCTCAGTTTAACTTATGGGATGAGATCTCTAGTTTTTTGCATTGACACTTTGAAGATGGTATTAATCAAGCCTTTAACTATGCATATGTTATTGTAAATGGCAAAAATATAACAATAGCATTGGTTTCTCTCCAACCCCTCATGCATATATCATGCTATAATTTTTTTCCAACTTATTATTAATTGTTAAAACTACTTGATTTCTTCAAATTTTACAAAGTGAATCATTTGTTTTTCTTTTTTTGCAAAAACAACCAGAATTATATTTTTTATTTATTTTTATTATTATAATATTAAAACAAAATACATCATATTACATAAAAATTATAGAAAACAAAGATTTTAACCTATTGTTTTATGTTTTTTGAATTTCAGTATTTTTAAAAATAAAATTTTAAGTTTATTATGGTTATGTTTTTATATTTCTATGAAATAAATATTATTTATATTTTGAAAAAGTTATGAGTATTGTTTATTTATTTAAATAAATCATAATCAATATAATTAAACTGTTAAATTAAAAGTAATTACAAATTGAAGGACTATTTTATAAATAAAAAAGTTCAATGGCAAAATAGCATATTGCATAATCTCATGCCAAATATAGAAGCAAAAATAGCATGATGCTATTTTGCAATAGCATATGCAATTGGGTTGGAGCAAAAATTATGGCAAAATAGCATATATGTCATATTTAGCATGGGGTTGGAGTTGGAGATGCTCTTAAGGTTGATAGACTCAGGTACCTTAATCAATCAATGTACGTAGTATAATCATTTTTTTTTACTTCAAGTTTTGCATTCTTTATTTCCTGCATTTTTGGTTCTTCCCTTATTACATAAAGAAATGAAAAATCAAATCTAATAGGTGTGACAGAGGAGGGTGTTATTCATAGACAAAATTAAAAGTCTGAATAATTTAAGACAATAAGATCATCTCACTCACTCACTCACCCTAATCCCCCTTTAGCAATCTCCATATCAAACCAGAAAGTAGCATAAGGTTTTGATTTTACATTTTATAACACATAAGAGAGCGAGAGAGAGCTTCTTTTCAGTTCTCAAAATAAAACAAACTACAAACAAATTCCAATACACTTCTCCATTCATGTTTCTTTGACTAGTTGCTTATTTGCCTACAGTTTGCTAGTAGGGTCGGTACCTTCGTCCTCCTCGGCTACCACCATCATGATCATGGCTATCTCGGCCTGACCCTCCGCTTGACCCGTTATTCCGGTCTCCTCTTCTCGGTCGCGGTGGCGGTGCCATCTGCATACCAGGCTGTTGCCTGCATAATAACAACTTTCTTCATGAGATACAGAAAGCAAGAAATTATAATCCAATCAGGACGCTGAACAAATTTGGTTACAGGAACAATTGACTTACAGAACATAGCCGACTCGGCCATCAGGAAGAAGCATTGGAACCATTTGCATCCCTGTTGGCATTGCTCCTCTACCATAGATCATTGGCTGCAAAATTTGAACACAAGTTTATACCAAAAATTGCTGATAACAACACTTTAGAGATGACAAACAGGTTTTTTTCATAGAACAAATATATATATATATATACCTGATTAAAACCACCGGCAATACCCAAACCAGAACCCATAGCAGCATAAGGAGGCGCAGCAAAACCACCAAACGTGGGATGCGTAAAAGGGGCAGGAGTAGGTGCAGCCCCATAGTAAGACAATGAGTCATGTTTCCTTTCAGCCTGGGGTTTAGCAAGCACCACTTCTAGTGGGTGACCTTTGGTTTGGAAGTTTGTGGGATGTTAAAGACAAATTGAAAGCATAACGTTTGTGTTACTCAATAGCTGTATTCTGGATGAGTAAAGAGATTTTTTTTACCGTTGATTTCATATCTCTCGGTATCTTTGACAGCCTTGAGTGCACTAGACCTTTCAGCATAGTGGACAAACCCGAAATCACGTTTTCCACCTTTTCCAGGAGGAGTGACGATTTTAGTCACTTCTCCATGTCTTTGAAAGATTTCCTTCAGTTGCTCTGTTGAGGTATTCTCTGGAATATTCTTCACATACAGAGCTTTCACCTGAGTATTTAACGCAAAAGAGATTGTCAAAAAAGTGCTAACTTTTTGCTAAGAGAGAGGGCCTTGTGCAGATAGACTATTTAAAGAGTACCTGAGCAGCAGCAGCTGAATGCTCAGGAGAGCTTTTTGGGTCTGCCCAAGTCACAGTTGGAACGTTGCCCTCAAGCTTAAAGCTAGAATCTATCATTTTCTGCCTTGAATAATCAGCACATGCATTGTTGTAGTATAAAACAAATGCAAAACCACGGTTACGAGTGGAATTCGTTGGATCCTACAGGCACCAAGAAGGTGATGATTAGTAAGGGAATCAGGCAAAGATCAACTGTGGCAGGCACCAAAAGAATAATGATCAAATCTTGTTACCTTTATGAGCTCGATGTTCTCCACTCCAGGACCAACATCCTCTATCACTTTTCTAAACTCATCCTCAGTCCAGCTCTTTGGGATGTTACCAATAAATAACCTATTCTTAGTTTCCGAAAGAGAGCATCTTATGGTTTTTCCCTGTACAAAAATCAGATATAAGTACACTATAAACCAGCAATGATAGATAACTTAAGCTATATATAGTTAGCGGCTGAGATTACCTTAAACTCTTTGCTGTGCAACTCCTCAATGGCCCTTTGTGCAGCGTCTTTCGTTTTGAAAGCTACAAAAGCATAGCCTTTGCTCTCACCAGAGTCCCTATCTTTCATCAGTCTCACCTAATAAAAGAACAGTTAAGAAGTCAGTCAGCTGTAGATACAAAACCAACAAAGAGGATCGTTCTAAATTGGACACAAAGAATATTGCAGTTTCCAACCTCAAAGATCTCGCCTATGCCTTCACAGAGATCCCTCAGATCCTCTTCCCCAACATCCCTTGGCATCCCGCCGATGAAAACCTCAGAACCATGAGGAGGAAGTGAAAGAAGATGAGAAAACTTCTCTCTATCTTCTTCATCAATGGGAGACGCTGATTTCTCTTCATCTTCTGCCGTCTCAATATCAATATGGTTGTCGTCATCTTCAGCTAACTCCTCCTGACCTTCTTCCCTATCCTCTCCTTTCCTGTCAGCATAACCCTCTTCAGCATTTTGGTTCACGCCACCAACATCATCATCCTCGTCTTCTTCTTCCTCTTCCTCTTCGTATTCTTCTACTTGTTCCTCCTCCACTTCATCCTCCATCTCACTGTAGCTACCCTCCTCGAAATCCACACGGTCGTCCACATCTCGAGCGTCTGACATAAGGTTCTTGCAAACTGATATCTGGTCATTCAATAACCAGACTTATCAGCTATTAACCCTACAAGCTCAGGTGAATCATTTTGACACCAAAAAGCTTATAACATAAGAAAAAAAAAGAGCAGATTTTGGGTGAAATGAGAATTGCTCTTTTTCGATTTTCTTTTTTTTCAGTGAAAAGGAATGAGTGTTTGATGTCATATGGAGATGAGAGTATAATTTGGAGGTACAAACTAAATTTAGGTTTTTTAGTGGCAGAGATAGAGAAGAAATAAAGTCCAATTGAGATAAAATTTTCAAAACTTTGATTCCAGATCCAATTTCTGAAGAGAACGAATCAAGCGAAACCCGAAGCAACCCAGTCAAATTCGAGATCGAGACTCACACATCTATCTACCAGAGAACAAAATCGACACCGAGAAGCAAATTATACTCACCAGCTCAGCTCAGAATTAAAGGAAACAGGCTCAGAAACTAGGGTTTATCTTTTATATTTTTTTGTTAGGGAGGGAACAAAATCATCGAAGAAGATGAGAGAAATCTACGAAACAACCAAAACAAATGTATAAGAAAAGTAGAAGTGGAGAATTTTCTCGGCATACCAGACCGTGTTTGTTTTCGAATCGGATAAATGGGGAGAAATTGGTGTTTCAGAGGGGAATTAGGGATTTCGCTTCGGTTGTGATTGAAGATATCCGACGAAAACTGTTACTCTCAAACTGGTCGCCTATTTCTCCATCTCCGGTGGAATTAGAGACTCCACTTTACCCCACTCTCCTGGGCTCTAATCTCATGTAACGCACTCTCCACAACCCTAAAACCAAACGCTTTCAAAGGCCCATTTAATTCGTATTGGGCCTATACCGTTCTAACTCTTCATGAGGCCCTTTTATATCTGTGATTCGCCATCCCTGCTGTTTTTCTTGGGGAGATGGAAACTACCTGCTGTTTTGTTTGAATAGTAGTGATGCTAATACAAACGGGAAAATAACAAATTTGGGGTCAAGTTGATGATTAATAAGACTTTGATGGTGTTTAATTATATGGTTTTCAATTTATTTAAAGAAGCATTTATCTTAGGTGGATGTGGAGTTATGTAACGTCGAAGACAAGACTGATCGTGTTGGAATCATGTCACATGGGGGTGAATGATGTTCTTTGCTCGTGTCTCAAGTTGCAAAGTTGCAGCTTTTTTATATGGTCATTTCTCATAAATTGATAATCACTTTTGCATTAAATAATTGAAGTTTTCAGATTCAAAAGGTGGCCATATAAAATTTATTTTCAAAACTACCATCATTGTTGGATCAAAACAATAATCTCATATGTTAGTTGATAGTAGGGTCTAATTTCATTCATTTGTAACCAAACAAAAAAATCTACAACTTTTGTAACACTTTCATATATAGAAATCAACTGATGATTAGTTTAAAGATTACATTTTCCAATCTTCATTAGGACAATACACATACAAAAAACACATCAACAATACACACTCACACCAATCTCAAAGCTCATTAACACAAACTAAAAAGTCATTGTTCTTTTTTTGTCAAAAATATTTTTATTTATATATATTATGAAAAAGAACTTTAAAAAAAAAATTAGAGGAAAAAAATTCATGACCGTTGATTCTCGAATCACCTTAACCACCGTCTATAATCGGAAGTAGAAGCAGGCGAGATCTCTCCTCCACCACCAAGAGACTCAGTACAGCAAGAAGAGTAATTCGATTGTTGCTCCAATGCACCCAATTGCGAACCTCCTATACTCTTGAAACTCGGACTCCTTAAACTCTGGCTGTTATTATCACCACCGTAGTACCCTCCTCCAGCCTCCGGTGGCTGCTGCGGCGGAACCGGATAAGAAAGCCGTTTTCTAGCTGAACCGGCCCGGTCTTTCTCAGGCGTCGAAGGACGTTGCCTCGGCGCGCTCTGAGACCGGATCCTAGCCTTTGCTGATTCCGTGATCGCCATGTAATTCGGCAATGCAGCGGTTGAAGCGGTGCAAACGCTATAACCGCTTCTCGCGGTGAAGCTGTAGTTAGATCTCAAGCTAGGTGTGTTTGAGTTTGAGGTGTAATTGTAAGTTGACCGGTCATCTCTTCCAATCCGTGGACTCGCGGACCGGATTTGAATCGGTCTGGATTTAGCCGGAGACGGTGTAGCTGATGTGAAATTGGTTCTTGATGGTGAGCTAGACCTTTGGTTACGGCTTGGGCTAGCTCCGGTTCTCGAGTAACCGCGGGTTAAATACGGTTGAGAAGTATCGATTTCAACGGTTTTGTAAACCGGTGGTCTTTGATCCGTTGAAGCTCGTTTGTCCCACGGTTTAGACGCCATCCATCGGTCTAACCATTTCGGTCTCTCTTCTTCTTCCTCGTCTCCCACAGATTGACTACCTCTGGTTCTCCGAATCTTTCATCAAAACCAAAACGAAATTAGACATGTAATTACCGGTTTAAACCAACAATTTCCGGTTATTTAAATTACCTTTTGAGAGAAAGCTTGTGATAAACTGCTATTACTCTCTCGTCTCAAAGCATTGTCTCGTCTCTGTTGCAGCATTGCTTTCACTTCTTCAATCGTGTGTGGTCGCTCATCCCAATCTTCTGCAATGCTGCTTCCTTCTCTTGACTGTAACAAACATCTAAAAATGTTAGCTTTGTCTATAGCTAATTGGTGAAAACAGAGCAATAATGATCTCACCATGGATCTTCTGTCTGAAACATCTTGGAGATAACGAGATTCGAGGACGCTGTGAGTGTCGCTGAAGGCAGATTTGCGACTACCGTCGTGGGACAAGCGTTTGCGTTGGTCAAGGACACGTGACTGGACTCGGACTAGAGCTTGCATACACCGTAGTGTCATCTTCGCTTGCTTCCTAACATTGTGACCTCTCACTAATGCTTGTAGCTTCACTAATCCTCTTAACGCTCTTAATGCTCTTCTTGCCTAAGCCAAATCCTAATTACTGTTAATTACTTGTATTAAACATAATTAAGGAATTTGATAATTTGAAGAGAGATTTTTGCTCACCAGATAACCTCTGAAACCAGTTTGGATGACGATAGCTGAGTAATTTTCTCTTGCTGTATAAGTCCGTCTTGAGAGATTTGGTAGCTCCGTCGTCTTCGGAGGGGCTTCTGGTGCGGCGGAGACGGTGGCGAAAGGTGTTGATGCGGCGGATTTCTGTTCTGTAACAGAGGATGAGACGGTTGTGTTGTTTGTCTCCGTTTCCGTGGATTTCGGTGCAGGGACGTCTTTTCCGACGACGGAGGTCTTCGCCGGAGAGTCGTGATTCGTCGATTTTCTGAATAACCACCGTCTCTTCTCTCTCTTCTACAGAAACAGAGTTTATAAATTATAAAAAGATTAAAAAAAAACCTTTGAAGAGAATGAATGATGCAAGAGCTGGACTAGAATATCGAACCTTGTCTTCGTCTTCCTCAGCTTCATTACCATGAGCATTGTTGTTGTTATGTTCTTTCTTGGTCGGAGATCGGAAAGCTCGTTTAACGGCGGTGAGCCAAGAAGAAGAAGAACCACTCTTCTTCCCCATGTTTGGTACGGATTAAGATTCTTCAGTCAACACATTGCAATCATCTTCCTGTTTCCGGACATAAGAGGATGAGATTTGGTTTAGATTCTTGCGCAGAAGAGGAAGAAGAAGATGAAGAGAGAGAGAGAGAGAGAGAGAGAGGGAGGAGGAGGAGTAGTGGTGGGTGGATCTTGGGAAACAGAAAGTAACAATAAATTTGGAAGGTTGCTTAAGAAAGAGTTCTGACTCTGACCGCCTCTTTAACTACGACCATGACAGCGATGACTCTTCATTTAACTAGTCTACTCCCACTTCATTTATTTTATTTTTTTTTCTCATTTCGCCAAACTAATAATTTCTCATTATGTCATGTACCTGCTTACATTTGTCAAGTGTCTTACATTTAATTCGATCATAATTGAGTTTTGATGTATTGTGAATTTTTTTTGTCATAGTCGTTTTGCTTTGTTAACTCTGACCATTAGTTATCATCTACATACATAAATTGACATTTTTTTTATTGTACAATGCTACCGGACGAGAAACTATCACTCCAATTGTATAGTTTACTTGAGATCTTTGATGCGCCATGTTATTAGTAGTTGTCTTTTAAGCTGTAACGAACAAACTAGCTAGGAAGAAAATTAAAAATTTGATAATGTCATGAACAAGACAACAATCATTTGATTGTAAAAAAAAAGAACAATCATTTGGTTTTAGATGAACACGTTTGCTTTCACGACCTTCCTATGGATTCCATGTTAATCGTAAATATAGACGAACAACGTAGATAGACCTATGCATACGCACGAACCTATAGGCTATAGCCATATGCATGGTTAACGAATATACACACAGCTACAAATTTTTAACTCGTGACTTGTGAGCATACACACAGCTACAATTTTGTGACTCGTGAGTATATTACGGATAGAATTCGAAAGTACTTAAAAATTCCGACGACTGTGTATTCATGTTTTCAAGATAAATCCATGGAATACATAAATCAATACATAATTCAACTTGATACATATTAAACCAAACCAGCTATTTATAGTAGAAAATGACAGCTTTCAAGATGAGCTTATTGGCCAAATCTTTAAAACGAGCTAAGAGAAAAGAAGAAGATATTTAAAACGAACTGGTGGAAGTCTCGTGCTATCACGTGCATGGAGCCAGATATAAAGGACAGAGCCATCATCAGGTGCGTGATGGACCAGGGTGGTCTTCCCCTACAACCATACACGTGGCCTTCTACATTTAATCAGTCAAACATCTGGTCAAACACTTTCTTCATCTTGGCTCTGGGCTTCCTCTCATCAAATCCCACTTTGCCCAATGCATAAAACCAGGCCCAATTCAATCAAAAGTGTAAACGCTTTTAATGGGCCTTTTAAGAGATCCCTAACCTTAATTTCTGGAGAGTCGCTGTATTTATAAGGCAACGATTTCCCACTTTGCAGCATTGCAACCCTAATTTTGTCTTTCGAGCGGCGCCACCAAAGAATTTGCCGAGGCTTCCCAATCGCTGCCTGAGGTATTTCTTCACCTTCTCTTCCTTTCCGATTCCCTTAGGGTTTTTGTTTCAGATTTCTCGCGAATCCACTGTCTAAACTGTACACCTATTAGTTGTTCCCGTCAGATTTTGGTTGGTTTTCAGTTAATTTAGGAGTTTTCTTCTTTTGATTCATAATCGTTGGCTACTGTTGCTGTTGTGGAGATCTAATTGTTTGCTGGTTATCACGTGGTTGCAGAGACAATGTCGACAGTTGGAGAACTTGCTTGCAGCTACGCTGTTATGATCCTTGAGGACGAGGGCATTTCCATCACTGTATCCTTATATCTCATGCTTTAAGCTATTTTACCTTTTTGTTTTATCGTTTGTCTGGTTGGTTCATCACTGTGACTTGATAGTACTCATTTCTAGGTTATGTACTCATTGAGCTGTCGGTAATGTGCGTTTTAGGGTTTATGCAGCTCTTGTTTGATTCTCTACCCATTACCCCGAATCTGAGAAAGCTTATGTGTTCTGGCTATATCTTGAATGCTATGTTAATAGTGTTTATAGCGTTTTGTTATTGTGGAATCATTTTGATCATATCTGTGACATGTGTTGAATCACCCACTTTGTAAATTGTTTGTTAGAGTTAGGGTTCTTGTGTGCAAGGTCATCAACTTGAAATCTAGTAACATATTTTGGTTTGGTTCATATCCTTAACTCTCTTTTCAATAGTCTGAGAAGATTGCCACCGTGGTCAAAGCTGCTGGTCTCGAGATTGAGGGTTACTGGCCAATGCTCTTCGCCAAGATGGCTGAGAAGCGTAACGTCACCGACCTCATCATGAACGTCGGTGCTGGTGGCGGTGGAGGTGGTGCACCAGTCACCGCAGCTGCACCAGCTGCTGGAGGTGGTGGTGCTGCCGCTGCTGCTCCCGCTAAGGAGGAGAAGAAGGTACATACTTGAGCAAAAGCATTTTATTTGAAATGTTTTGGTTTATGTTCTTGCCAGTTTTGGTTACTGATTCTCGTTGTTGGTTTTGATTGTTTTGTAGGATGAGCCAGCAGAAGAGAGTGATGGAGATCTTGGATTCGGCTTGTTCGATTAGATGTCTCCTTGTTTTTCACTCTTTGCTATGTTTTATTGCTTTTTAGTTTATTTGAGATTTTTCAGTTTTGATATTTCGACACTACATCTACCATTTGTTATATCATGTACTCAATTTATCATTAGCTCACGACCTTCTTAGTAGTTTATGAGAGATCTTATGTATAAATTACATTAGTTTCTCTCATGTCTATGTTTCTAAGGAAAAAATTGATTCTTATACTACAAATTTGATCTTGAAAAAGTAAAAATTATAGCAAAGAAAATTACTATCAACGCTGATACAACCTAACTCGAAAAGTGAAAAGTTAATCCAATATCAAGTTTGTATAAGGGTTTTTACTTTAAATTTTCCAGATCAAAGTATACAAAGTTGATCTTGAAGACGACTTTGATTTCTCTCACACAAATTTGTATCCGATTCTTTGCCCATAAACCTTTTTTTTGGGTCAAAACTTAATCATCTCTCAAGACTCAAGTTAATCAATAACGAACCTTCTGTCTCTGCCAGAGGGTTTCCTTTTTAATTATTTCGTTTAAGCTGAATTAGAACGTCGGCTACTGCCGGCGGAGAATGTTCGGAGTCGAGTACGTCGGAAAGTTCGATGAACCAAACGGCTCTAATCTCTCTATTTTGAAGTCATAGGAACGAAGGACTTGAAGTTCACCGATATGAAGAATTCGCAAATGGAACTTGATCTCGATTCGTTTCTGGTATCGGACTCGGACTCCGAATCCGATTTGGACTCTTCTTCGGTTCCTCACCGTACAGTCGACGAAATTCTCAACGCCTCCAGTTCTTCATCTGCGTCGTCTTCTCCCCCGTCATCTCCGCCTCCAGTTAGAGACCAAGTTAGCCGGCGGAATCAAAACGATCCGACTCGCCGCCTATCTGAAGCTCTGTTAAACGTCCCGGTGAGACCTGAATCCGTCGAATCTGAAATACATCGCGGATTTCCTCGTGTAAGCGATCCGGCGCGGCCAAATTCGGCTTCTTCTTCTTCTCTGAGACAGTTGCCTTTGCCGTCGCTATTTGCAGGTTTGCGGTCGAATGTGAAGCCCGGCGCGGCGCTTGCAGCGGCTGTGGCTGCTTCCAGATTGGTTCCTACGCCACACGCTGCGATCATCAAGTCACGGAGAGCTAGCAGTGCGAGTAGCGAGTTGCTGCAGCAGGTTTTGGGCGATGAAGAATCCGTTTCAAATCAAGATGAAGACGATCAGGAAATTTTATCGTCAAATGGCCATTCTGCTGGAGTTGCTTCTGGGTTCGATTCGGTGGATAATTTTCGTCCTCTCGGTGGAGAATCTCGTCTACACGATGAGGATAATCGAGTAGCTAGTGATAACACTGAGACCTTAGCTGATGAGGCAAACTTAGAGCCTGAGTTAGTCAATGCCTCCTGTAATTTTGATCCTGAAGGAGACTTCTCTGCAGAACAAGAGGTGCTGAGCACAGCGGAAGCCGGAAATGCTGCTGCTGATGGCGTCAGAGATGACACAATGTCTGCCGCTTCTTTGGTGGAGCCTGAAGAGACGTCAGAACAAAAGTCTCAACTTTTGAACGATTCTGATGAGAATGACGATGTTAAGGTAAGAAATGATGATGACTCAAGTGTTGGCGATGATAAGCATGATGATTCGGATATAATTATACTGGATTCTAAAGAAGAGGGAGGTGATGCTTTTATTCCTGATGATGGAAGCTCGATGTCTGGCATTTCAGAGCTTGTAGAAGAGAGGATTGGGGAGTTGGAAAAGGAAAGGATAAGCAAAAGAGAGAAACTAAAATCGCGATCTTTTAGGAAGCAGCTTGTCTTGGCTGAAGAGTTTGAGAAGAAACAAGCGTATACTGGTTTGCATTGGGAAGAAGGTGCTGCTGCTCAGCCAATGAGACTCGAAGGTGTTAAGATCGGTTCGACGAACTTAGGTTACTTTGATGTTGATGTTGACAATATCATCAGTCGAACCATTTCGTCGCAGGCATTCAAGCGAGACCATGGTTCTCCTCAGGTTTTGGCTGTTCATTTGAACTTTATCGCAGTGGGTATGTCCAAGGGGGTAATCGTCGTTGTACCGAGTAAATATTCTTCTGATACTGCAGATCAAATGGAATCAAAGGTTGTCTTCTACGTTCTTATTTGTTCAAGCGAAATTTGTTATAATCTGGGTAGATATATTCTCAAACTATACACATTTGTGTTTACAAAATTGTAGATGATTTGGCTTGGTTTACAAGGAGAAAGATCCCACTCCCCAGTTACTTCAGTCTGCTTTAATCAGCAAGGGGGTCTCCTGCTAGCTGGTTATGGTGATGGGCATGTTACAGTCTGGGACGTGCGGAGAGCTTCGGTAGCAAAAGTGATAACTGAGCACACTGCACCAGTAGTATATGCGTTTTTTCTAGGCCGGGATTCTCAAGGTTCTCGTCAATTTAAAGCAATTACAAGTGATACCAAGGGTGTTGTTTTTAAACATACTTTCTCTTGGACTATGCTATTGAACATGTATTCAGTCACAACACAGGTAAGATTTAGTATTTTATGAAGTTATGCTGGCTTGTGATTTTGTGTCTGTTTTCTTCTGGTGTCTTGTTTCGGCCTTACTAACTGTGAGGAATGGGTTTGTTGGCCTTGTTTTGATTGCATCAGTGTCTTCTCGATGGACAAAAAAATGGAACGGTCCTCTCTGCGTCACCTCTGCCTGATGAAAATTTTGGAAGCTCCTTGGTCTCTTCTAAGGGGGGTAACGCTGCAGTTCCATCCAGCAGTATATCTAGCATGATGGGAGGTGTGGTTGGTGTTGATTCGAGCTGGAAGCTCTTTAATGAGGAATCATCTGCGGTGGAAGAAGGGGTTGTCATATTTGCCACCTATCAAACTGGACTGGTGGTATGGATTCAAATTCGTTTTCATATTCAATTTACCGATCTCGTTCTGGAAATGATCCTCTCCTGTTTTCTTCAGGTAAAGCTTATTCCAAATTTGGAGGTGTATGCACACCTTCCTAGGCCTGAAGGGGTTCGGGAGGGTTCCATGCCATACACTGCCTGGAAATCCTCAATGGGTAATCATATGATTCTTCTCCCAGTAAAATTGTGTATTTTGTTTGTACTGTTTTACTTAACCTTGTTTAACTGAAATTATGCAGAAAATTCTTCCAAGGAGGCGGAAGATAGGGTTTCTTTTCTTGCCATTGCCTGGGATCGTAGAGTTCAGATTGCCAAGTTGGTCAAATCAGACCTAAAGGACTATGCGAAATGGTCACTTGAAAGTGCAGCTATTGGTGTGGTTTGGCTGGATGACCAGGTGTGTATACGAGTTTAAATATATTTCTAAGCAAATGCATGTTCATGATTTCTCTGCTTTTCTCTGCATATGCAGTTGCTGGTGATCCCAACTGTGACGGGCCATTTGTATCTGTTCACAAGAGATGGTGTGGCAATTCACCAGACAAACTTTTCTCTGAATGGTTCTTCAGGGAATGACCTGATTTCCTATCATACGTACTTTACCAATGTCTTTGGAAATCCTGAGAAAGCTTATCACAACTCTGTGGGTGTCAGAGGGGCTTCTGTATACATTCTTGGCACTGGGCATCTTATTATCTCTAGACTTTTGCCATGGAAGGAGCGGGTTGATGTTTTAAGGAGAGGAGGTGATTGGATGGGTGCATTTAACATGGCAATGTCACTTTTTAATGGGCAAGCCCATGGGGTTGTTGACCTTCCCAAAACTGTGGACGCCATAAGGGAAGCCATAGCACCCAGTTTAGCAGAGTTGCTACTTTCCTATGTAGATGAAGTATTTTCTTATATCTCAATAGCATTTTCCAATCAGACTGAAAAAAATGGAGCAACTCATGAGCCAAACAGTGGAACCAAGAATGCCGATTTAGAGATAGAAGAACAATACAATCGTGTTGGTGGTGTTGCTGTTGAATTCTGTGTTCATATTAACAGGATGGATTTGCTTTTCGATGAAATATTTTCCAGATTTGTGGCTGTACAACAAAGAGGTATATATTTCAGCTCTCTGTGTATATCCATCAACTTTCTTATTTAGTGCTACATTTTATTAAGGAACGGGATTCAGTATCATCCCAACTAGTAAAAATGTTCACCACATTTGGACTGTGACTAGTTCCTTATAGGTTGCTTGTTGCTAGCTTCTAATTCTTGCTTTGCTTAAATCCTTAGAGAGCTTTGGTCTACCGATCTTGGAATAACTTATGTTAGTAGCTCCTTTATGTTACTGCTTTTCGTACCTATGCCATTTTTCATAATACATACACATAGATGTTTAGCTGCGTTGCAGCATAATATCCATTACTTTTACTTTATGTCTTCTATTAACGCTTTAGATTAATTGTATTATTTGTTAAATGAAAGGGCATTATACTTTTTTAATTGATAGAGTGCAATGCTAATTCTTATACTTTGATACTCAAGGTTAATTGGTGAGATATTCTATTAGGGGACGATAGTGCAGCATACATGTGCTTTGGAATCTGCTGTTCATTTCTACATGTGTTTGACCTCATTTAGTGGCTTGATGACTATTAATTCCTTGTGTATGATGAGACATTATGATTTCTCCTTATTCATTTCGGCAACTACTTATGGTTTTTCTAGATACATTTTTGGAGCTTCTGGAGCCTTATATTTTGAAGGACATGCTTGGATCTCTTCCTCCAGAGGTAACTTTTATGCAATTATAAGATATTTCCTCAAGGGTGTTGTGCTATTTATTTTATGATATATATATTTATATATATATATATATATTTTTTTTTTATCATCTCAGATTATGCAAGCGCTGGTAGAACATTATAGTAGGAAAGGATGGCTACAAAGAATTGAGCAGTGTGTTCTTCACATGGATATTTCTTCCTTAGATTTCAATCAGGTCACAGTTTGCAGACAATTTCACGTGTCCTGTTTGGTCTTTTACTTCAGCAAGTTGATGTAGTATTATCGTTGAATATTGACATTTTCCTCACTGGTTAGGTTGTCAGAATTTGCCGTGAGCATGGGCTTTATGGGGCCTTGCTCTATCTCTTTAACAAAGGGTTGGATGATTTCCGGTCCCCTCTGGAGGAGCTCTTGATTGTCTTACGGAACAGTGAGAGGCAACGGGCTACAGCCATTGGGTATGTATGTTAATTCGTAACACTTTGTTCTGGTTAATAAAACTTTGTGCAAAACTGAACTTGAAAGCCCCCTCCTCGCTTGTTTCAGTTATGGACTAGAGGTAAACCTATAATTCAAAAGGCCCAGTTCGTTCCATCTAACATGACAAATCCTATAGACCACCTATGCATATAGCTAATTGCAATATTTGCTGCATGACCCCAATGTAATATTTGCACCCACAGCAGTGATGAGTTTTTTGAACTCTATTTCTTTTTCAGGTACCGGATGCTTGTTTATCTAAAGTACTGCTTTCTTGGTTTAGCTTTTCCCCCAGGTAGGATTGTACTTTGGTTCCACTGCATGTTACGATCTACAACCGGCCGAGTATAGTATCCGGTGATAATACACATTTTCCTCTCTAGAGCTTAATCTTATGATGAGTTTTATTTGCAGGACATGGAACTCTGGTTCCTACACGCTTGCCAGC